CCCCAGCAACTTGGGAGGTTGAGGCAGGAGGATCGCTATAGGCAAGACCAGCGTCAGCAATAAGCAAGACCCTGTCTCAAAATTTAAAGGACTGGGGATGGGGCCGCCTGGAGGAGCACTTATCTAGCATGTGTAAGCCCTGGGTTCCATCCCCAGGGGGAAAAAAAAGGCCTTATCCCCAAATAAGGTCACATTTGGAATTATTGGGGTTCAGGAGATCAGTGTATGGATTTGGAGGGACACAGCTCCTAGGACGGTCTGAGTCTCACAGATGTCTCCTCCCCTCGTGGTGGCTCCCAGACCTGGGGTCCCCAGGAGACTCGTGCCAGTGATCCCCACTTGGGCACGGCAGGCCCTGGGCCTGTTCCCGGCTCTTCCTGGATCTGGGTTGAGTGTCCACTTCCTGCCGCCCTCCGATCCCCTCGACCCGCGGCCGTTCCCCACCCTGGTGGCCTCTCCGCACTGTTGCCGCAGCTTCTCTGGGGACCTCTCTGCTTCCTGTGGCCCCCACAGCCGTGGACGCCTGGTGTCTGGCTTAACGATGGCTCCTTGTCGCAGTTTTCGACTCCGCCATGGTGTGAGAGCAGTCAATAGAAATCAGACTTTGGGTTTCAATTCGGATCGTTTCCTGGGTTCAGATGCATCTGTCCCCAGGCTGGGCAATGACATGGAGCCTCGGCTCCCATAAGCCACTTAGTCCCGAGGCCAGCAACCCACCCTCTGCCGGGTGCTGTGTTGCTGAGCTGGGCGGCTGGATGCAGTCTCTGTTCATAGGCTAGTTTCCACTCGGGACGCACTGGTCGGTCATGTCCCCGTGGCTGGTCGTGGAGCACCTGCGTTCCTGACACTGGCTTCCATGTGGTCACTCGCTCAGTTAGGCAGCCTCGGGCTCCTTTGTCCTCCATTCAGTCCAGCCCACAGCCCCGGGCCGAGCATGAAGGATCTCTGCAATTTCAAAGTCCACGCCGACTTTGTATGAGCGCTCAGGCGGAGGCCACGGAGGACCGCAGGCCAGAGGCTCAGACCACGGAAAAGTGCTGTCTATGGTTCTGGAGCCTTCAAAGTCCGCAGAGCACGGAGCAGCTCTGTGCCGACTACTGTGCCATCTAATAGGAGGCTCTTGAGCACCCGTGATATGGCCATCCCGTGAGGGACCTGGACTCAATCCCCTGAGTTAGCCAGCCACCACTGTCACCAAATACCCGACCGGGATCTCGAGGAGGAGAAGCGTGTTTGGGCTCACGGCTTCAGAGGTTCAGTCCGTGGCCGGCCGAGCCCATTGCTCTGGTCTAAGGGGGGGCAGACCATCGTGGCGGAAGGGCGTGGGCGGCCAGTGCTACTGCATTCATGTTTGTCTGTGAACATTTCCTGCATCATCACCAGGGCGGCTGGGGGTCACCTTTTGTCACTGTCAATCTGATCCATGCAAATCCCCAGCAAGAAGGTTCATAGGTAGAGACTAGAGGTCCGTGGCCCCCACTGTGCCCTCGCGATCGCAGGCGGGGTGAGTGCTGGGGAGCTGTTTACAGCATGCGAAGGTGGCAAGGGGACAATATCCGACCGGGGTGCTGTTCTAAAGAAGGTTCAGGAAAGACCTCCGACCCCGCGGCCCGTGAGCCCCCTGCGGGCAGCCAGTGCCGCTGGGCTCTCCACGCCGCTGGTCGGCAGACTTTTGCTAGAAGGGACGATTTTTTTAAAAATCCTTGTGTCTTTGTGGACATCCGATCTTGGTCCCCACCTGTAGTTCAAGAGAAGCCATCGACGTGTGGGAATGCATGGATGTGGCAGTGTCCCCACAAAACTCCGGGGACCCTGAAATTGGAACTCGATGTAGCTCTCACGGATCCCAAGACGGGATTCTCATATCCAGCGACATGACTCTTCTTATATTCAATGACCTCAGAGGAGAGTAACCATCCTTGGCTCGTGGGCTGTGCAGAAACAGGCCTCAGGCCCGGTCCAGCCCCAGGCTGCTCCCGGGTGGACGAGCCGGGGTCTAGCCTAAGGGCCGGAGGCCTCCCTGCCTCCTTTGGGCTGAGGCTGTGAGACCTTTTCCTCGGGCTCCTGCCGAGTCCTTAAGCAACCAGGTGTTGACAGAGCCTCCCAACGTCCATGAGCCCAGGGACTCTTGTGCCAATTTAGGAGGAGGTGTCCCGGGAGCCCTGTCCTGCTCCCTCCCAGGACAGCTGGTGTCTCCCACCCCCTGAGGACTTACAGGTGCGAAGCCGCAGCCTGGAGCCCAAATGGGCCTGGTCCCCGACACCGTGACCTCTAAGGACCGCTCGTCTGCATTTTGAACAGGCACTCTCAGGTCCCCACTCAGAGAAGCCATCTGCATCCTGTACTAATGTCCCCACTTGTCCCCTCCTGAGTCATCCAGTATCACTGCTGGCTCATTAAAACATCAAAGCCCCGACTACAGCGGCTACAGCGGCCCTGCCAGAGGGCTCCTAAGGCCTGGTCTCAAGTGTGCGATGCAGCGAGGCCAGTGGACGGGATGGGGCGGACGCACCCGGGCTGCCGATTCCACGGCTCTTCACGGCTGCTCCTCGCACATCATCTGGAGCCTCAACAGACGGCCTCCTTGATTAGGGCCTGCTCTCTCCCCCGCCCCCTGGCCACCCCACACCCGCTCCCCCCAGCCGTCTGCCCTCCACCCTCCTGACACAGGCCCAACCCCGACCTCAGCACCCAGTCTGTCACCCCCTCTCTGGGTGACCTTCCATACGGAGAAGCAGGAAGACCTTCCATACGGACAAGTAGCTCCCTGCACCCCTCAAAGATGCAAAGATGTCAACTCACTCCAAGGAACGCCTTGCTCTAAAGGCCTGCTCTGGTGGGTCGCCATCAGTGCAGGGCCGCCGGGAGACACGAGAACGTTCGTTGGTGCTTCATTTGGAGACACAAGCAAAATGACTTAGGGTCCAGCAGGGAAGAAAGTACGAGGAGGGGACAAAGAGAACAAACGCCCCATCCCGTGCTGCCCACTGTGGCTTTAGCACAGTTTAGTCTTAGTCCGTTTTCTGTTGCTATGGCTGAGTGGCAGAGGCGGGGTATATTATAAAGAAGAGGGGTTTGTTTGGCTTGTGATTCTGGAGGCCGGAAGTCCCAGAGTGTGGTGGCAGATCTGCTCAGCATCTGGTCACACCTGCTGGCTCAGCTCTCTCTTATAAAGTCACTAATGCCACCGTGAAGACCTTGCCTCCCTGAGCTCATCCTGGCTTGATTTCTTCCCCGCGGCTCCATATGCAAACACCATGATCGCAGACCTTGGGGATGACGTTTTGAAAGCAGGTCACATTCAAACTGTAGCAGGTCACAGTGATGCTCGCAGGAGGGACAGCAGCCGCAGCAGTCTCCGCAGCAGGAGTCGCGGTGGTGGTGGAGCATCATAACCACGGCGTGGTACGAGTGATGGCTAACAGCGGCTCCGGGCATCCGCGTGAGAGGTCACCTAGGCCTTGCCCTCACTTGCAACAGCTCAGAGTCGTGACCCCCTCCCCCACACTGGACTGTGAACGCCGCAGGAGCCAAGGTCACCTGGGTCTGGTTGGTCACATAGCCTGGCCCTTGCTGCCTTCTCGGTCACTTCAGAGACCTCAGTAAACGTCCCATGAAGGACTGAATTCATGGAATTTGTGGGATTCTCAGCTGTCCTGAGCTGCTTGAGGTCTCCAAGCCAACGAGTCATGGTACTGTCACACCTGCTCCGGCAGAGGTGCGCCCGTGTGTCAGACAAGCATCCATCACTCAGCAAGTGTTGCTCCTTGGAGCTGAAGGGGCTCTCCCTGCCTCAGGGCCATTACACCTGACGCTTTCCCATCTATCTGTCCCCATCACCTCCTGCTGTTTTATCTTCTTGTCTCCACTTTTCTCACAATGATGCTCCAAAAAGAAAAATGCTGCTGCATTTCTCGACCCTGTAAATACTAGAATGCACAAAGGCCCTGCCTCTGGGTCACTGAGGCCTACTCTTGGCCTGAGCCGCCTTCAACATCGGCTCACCTTCTCTCCTCCCTGGCATGGCCTTCCCACTGGGGTGTGTCTGCTGCGTCTCTCTTACAATTGCTGAGTGACGGATGCTTGTCTGACACAGGGCACACCTCTGCCCAAGCAGGTGTGACAGCTACCCAGAAACATGTAGGAAAGAGGGAATCCTTGCCAGTGAGGTCTCGAGTGGATGGGGCATGGGTCAGCCTGGGACTTATCACCCCCACCCACCTACTGGTCTGTTTGCTCCTAGAGGTGAAAGCAAATGGTAGATCATAGGTATTTGGGAAAAAGGAAACAGTACGTGTAAAGGCCCTGAGGCAGGAACAAGCCTGGCATTTTCAAGAGACAGAAACCTGAAATTTGGGGGCCGAGCTATAGCTCAGTGGTAGAGAGCTCACCTAGCACCTGGAAGGCTCTGGGTTCGATCCTCAGCACTACAAAAAAATAAGTAAGTAAAATAAAAGTACTGTGTCCATCTACAACTAAAAATTAAAAGAAAAGAAACCTGGAGTTTGGAGAAAGTAGTCTGTGTTGCAAAGCTTTCTGATCTCAACCTTTCTGTTTTCTCAGCACTTGCCAGAAAGGGTGAATTTGAGCTATAGCAGGAAGGCCCGGACATTCATACAGAGGATGTGTCACCACAGTGGCCTCTTCAGCTCTGAGGGCTGTTATCATTCAAAGACGCTGATCGTTTCCTTTAGGTCATTTATTCACTCAACAAACATTTCCAGAGTTCCTACTCAATAGGCCAGACCCTGTACCAGACTTCGGAGAACACCTTTGAGTTCCCTTCTCCCCAGAACAGAAGCCAAAAGGCTCCTTTCTGGGGTGCTTGCTTGTGCCCAGGTACCTGTCACTCAGGGAGGGTCAGATCCTTCGGTCAGGTACAGACAGTTGGTGGCTCAGGGAAGATTCTAGAAAGACTAACACCTCCCAGTCCCAGTGGAGACGGTTCTTCAGTTCCCTCAAGACCCTGCCTGATGCCCCACCTCTGTTCTCTCCTCTAGCCCCCTGCCTCGGGGAGACAGTCCCCCACAAAGAATGGCAGCCCCTCCAAGTGCCCTCGCTTCCTCAAGGTCAAGAACTGGGAGACGGACGTGGTTCTCACCGACACCCTCCACCTGAAGAGCACCCTGGTGAGTTCCCCAGACACTATCCAGCATCCCCTGAACGGGCTATTTGTCCCTGCTTGAGGACAGCTGATGGATACCCACTCACTTCTCTAAATGCTTTTTATCTGAGCACTTTGTTCCCAAGAGAAGTGAAGGGGCGTGGTCAGCCTGACCACCGATGAAGTACCGAACAAACCCTGCCCTGATTTCACACTGGGTCCTCTAAACTTCTAGATCCTATTTTTTAATAGTGTCAACACACCAACACATTCCTTTAAGTTTGGGTCAGAAAAGGGCCTTTTGGAGAAATGTATCTGTTAGTAACTGCTGTGTAACAAACTGGCCCAAAAATTCAGTGACTGAAAACAACCACTGTTTATTACTTTTGAAAAATCTCTGGATTAGCTGGGTGGTCCAGCCAATCGGAACCGGACACCCTTGATCTTAGTGAGGTTGTATCATGTGCCCGCAGCCACCTGAGGGGACAGCTCAGGGCAGGCTGATCTGGGATGGCCCTGCTGAGGTGACTCTATTGTGCATGGTCTCTCCTTTTCCAGCAAGCCAGCCTGGACTTGCTTGCATATGGAGGCTGGGCTTGGGCATGGTGCAGGGCCGTTTCTGCCCACTCTGTGGGCCAAAACTAGCCTAGATACAAGAGATGAGGACATACAGTCCCCTCTTGATGGGGAGCCGCTATCAAACCACACTCCAAAGAGAATTCAGGGAAGGAAAGAATTGGGGTCATTTTTGCAATTAATCTATCAGAGACGTGTCCAAATGAGCCACTGTCCCCTCTGTTAGAATGAGAAAGTATCCTGGGGTCTAGTTCCAGTGATTCAGATTGGTAGTCAAAACACTCCTGATCCCCTAACTGACCTTCCGGAACCGTACATTGTGACTCGCTGTCCCTTACGTTGACTGAGGACCATGTCCAACAATGACAGGAAGCTGGTCGTTGGCGCCAAGGGCCAGGTTAGCTCTGCCCTGAGTACCAGATCCTGGCCCCCAGCCCAGCACCCGCCGATCTCGGGGGAAACCAGGCCATAGCCCAACCTCTCTCTCTCCCTTCCAGGAGACAGGCTGCACGGAGCACATCTGCATGGGCTCCATCATGCTGCCCTCTCAGCACACGCGAAGGCCCGAAGACGTCCGCACCAAGGATCAGCTCTTCCCCCTCGCCAAGGAGTTCATCGATCAGTACTACTCGTCCATTAAGAGGCAAGTGTGGGCAGGGCACCGGGGCGCACACCTGTCATCCCGGTGACTCCGGAGGCCGAGGCAGGAGGATCGTGAGCTCAAAGCCAGCCTCAGCAACTTAGTGAGGCCCTCAGCAACTCAGGGAGATGAGACCCTGTCTCTAAAGGAAATGTTAAAAGGCCAGGGGATGTGGCTCAGTGGTGAGGGCTGGGGACAAGATGTCAGCTGCAGCTTTGCAAACCCCAAGTTCAAGGCCTTAGCCCGCCAGTCACAGGGTGGAAACCTGGTAGCCCACGGGCCAAACCTGGCCCCCAGATGGGCTCTTATTTGACCAGTGAAAGGGTTTCTTAGACTCTGGAGTATTTCACGCAATTGCACACCTGGAGGGAAACTCCCAGCTGTGGTTTTTGAGCATGCAAAGAAGGGCAAGCTCACAAACACCACGGACAGTAGGAAAGATCACCATTAAAGAACCTTCCAGAAATCACCTTGGCTCCATCCACAGTCCAGACATGGAATCCAGGCTCCGTATCCCTTCTCCGAAATGTTCTGCGCCAGACGTATTTTGGGTCTCAGAGTTTTTCAGATTTTAAAATATTTGCATTGAATTTACCAACTGAACACCCCTCATCTGAAAATCTGAGCCCCAGGGGCTAAGATGTCCCTCGGTGGTAGAACTTGTGTGTAGCGGGTGCTGGACGCTGGGTTTCAGCTGGGGACCTGGTGCTCATTACACTGTTCTGTAGAGCTGCCTTCTTAGGAGTCTAAAAGTTTCCAAAGTGATTTTTAACTGTCTGAAATTGAAGGCATTCCCAACATTGGAAACTCAGAAGAGCTCCCTTTAAAACTAGGACTTTCCAGTTTGTGTTGAGCAAGACCCGGCAGCCTTGGGTCCCCTCTCCTATCAGGGAGCAGTTGGCTGGGGCACAGTCATGGCTGCCCCCCAAGGACAAGGCTCAACGCAGTCCCCACCCGGCTGGTTTCATCTACACACCCCGCCGAGCCCTCGTGGGCACCTGAGTGTACAGTCTCTGCTTTATGCTCTAACTGTCGCATGCAGCAGTCGACGGGGGACTTCCTGTGGCCCCCAGTGTCCTATCATAGCTCGTCCCTCCCACCCTCCTCTACTTCAGAAGAGGGGGTAATGACGTTGGTTAGCTTTCCGTCCCTGTGACAAAACACCTGAGAGAATCAACTTAAAAGGAGGAAAAGGTTTGTTTGTGCTGATCATTTGAGTCCACGGGGCGCTCGGCCCCTGTTCGGTTGGGCCTGTGGCCAGGCAGCTCATCAGGGTTGGAGAGCAGGAGGAGGAGGCCCCTCACCTCATGGCACCTGGAAACAAGGGAGGGAGGGAGGGCGCCCCCCATGACCTTACTTCCTCCCACCAGGCCCCGCCTCCTACAGGTGCCCCACCTCCTAGTAGAGTCCCGGGCTGGCAGGAGACCTTCGGGGGCGCTTCACGCTCCTCTTCTCCCAACTCAGGTTTGGCTCCAAGGCCCACATGGACCGGCTGGAGGAGGTGAACCGGGAGATCGACAGCACCAGCACCTACCAGCTCAGGGACACCGAGCTCATCTACGGGGCCAAGCACGCCTGGCGCAACGCCGCCCGCTGCGTTGGCAGGATCCAGTGGTCCAAGCTGCAGGTGGGAGACCCCTTGGGGACACCTTGGGGAGGGGACGAGAGAAAGAGGGCAGGTGGAGCTTTGGAAAGGCCCCCGTTGGCCCTAGTGACCTATCACCTGGTGGTCACAGGGCCCACACTCCCAGGTCACAGCCGCATCCTGACTAGAGCCATGTCCCCTGGGCACCCCGGCTGACCACAGACCCCACCTCTCCCTTCAGCCTCCCGCCCACCTCCCTTACTGACCTTCTCCACATCCCCCCTGACGGGTCCGTTTCTGTCCCGCTGACCCGATTGGATTCTAGGGAAGATCTCCTCGTGGGCAGTAGATTCGTTATCAAGGTCGGGGTTTAGAGTTTGATTTTTGTTTATTTCGTTTTTTAATCCCTCAGTCCTAGTCCCTAACAGAAAACGTAGCCATCTCATTAAAACGCCCCCTGTATTGAGTGTCCCCTTCGTCACATTCGCTTGCACTCTGGGAGACTTTTCCTAGTCTGATTGACGTTGCTTATGAGCATAGAAGAAAGAAAACATAAAAGGTTGCCTGGGACTCAGAATGAGGTGCCTGCTACTCCAGAGAGGGGGCCCTTGGGGGGGCTCTGGGAAAGGGGAAGACGGCCGTCAGTCCCACCCGGCATCTCTCCCAGGTGTTCGATGCGCGCGACTGCACCACGGCTCACGGGATGTTCAACTACATCTGCAACCACGTCAAGTACGCCACCAACAAGGGCAACCTCAGGTGAGGGACCTGCTGGGGGGGAGGGGGCCTCATGTCCCCACGGCGTGGAGTCGGCCACACTGAGACAGATGTGCAGCCCTTCCTTGCCCACACCACGTGTCCCTTCTCCTCTGGGGCAGTAGTATCCCCTGGGGTTTGCAAAACTGCCACCATGAACGTCCCACTCAGCCCTCCCCAGGAGGAGCCTGAGAAAGGATGTTGGATCTGGGATCCGCACACAGCACCAGCCTCACACCCGCTCACGGGCTGTGACTCTGGTGTCGCTAAACACGACTCTGTATGTACATCACACAACGCGCTGGGTCTGCTGCTCAGGGATGCGTCACGCGCGGGAGGGAGGAGTGACTCATCCTGGGCTCCTCTCCGCGGTGGCCCTGAGAGACGTTTTGCTCGGAGATTCTGGAGAGCGCTGAGACCCTGTGTGGTTTTCACCTGGCCTCCCGCGCACCCCAACTTTCATACCGAAGGGGGACGCCCCACTCCTGCAGTATAATAATGGGGCCCTCTTTTGCATAAAGGGGGGAGGACCTCAAGTTGAGCTCAGAAAGCAGCAAAGCGGTGGCCGGAATCAGTTCCCTTGATGGAACAGGGGACTCCAGGCAGCGGGAAGAGCTCGGGGCAGAGGATATCATGGGGCACGGGTGGAAAAGTCATCCTGCTTCAAGTCTACGTTTTTCTTCTTCCGTCCTTCCCCTGTGCCAAGGAGCAAAGCCCCGTCCTGTGACACCCTTCACCCTTGGGTAACCGTGGGCTCATCCCGCCACACAGCGGGCCCTGCACTGAGATGAGTTTTGCAAAAGGGACCCAGAGTAGGTCTCAAATCTGCCTCCCCGATGACAGGGTTAGAGGACCTCGGTGGCTGAGGTGTGCAGAAAGGGGATTGGAGAGTAATGAAGAGCAGGAGGAGCAGGTGGAGAGGGTTCACACAGGTGTGTCCTAGGTTTCAAAGGAAGGCTGGTTGTCCGGTTGGTGGCGCACGCTAATCCCAGCACCTCTGGAGGCTGAGGCAGGAGGATCGTGAGTTCAAAGCCAGCCTCAGCAACTCAGGGAGGCCCTAAGCAACTCAGTGAGACCCTGTCTCTAAATACAAAATAGGGCCGGGGGTGTGGCTTGGTATTGGTCAGGTGCCCCTGAGGTCAATCCCAGTACCCAAAAAAGGGAAGGCTGGTGGTAGAAGAACAGAACCTAGAATCCCTATGTGCTGTGACTCGGGGGTCCCACGGCTCCCTGGAGATGGCGTGTGCAGAACTCCCCGGAGGACTGGCCGACGTCAGGACTCTTGTGCCCTGGAGACAGGGATGCAGAGCCCCTGGCTCTGAACCCATCCTCCTGCCCCCCACCTCCACTGGCCTCCACCCTCCGCACACCAGGGGCTCCAGTGGAGAGGTGACGTCCCCTCCTTCCAACAGCTAGTCCATTGACCCTGGGGACCTGGCACAGACGTGATCCACCCTGAGCCTGTTGGTCTGGGCAGCACCGTTTCGAGTGTGTCCCCAGAGCACACGGCTCCCCCTGACACCGGCTGTCCTCCCCTGGCCCCACAGGTCGGCCATCACCATCTTCCCTCAGAGGACGGACGGCAAGCACGACTTCCGCGTGTGGAACTCGCAGCTCATCCGCTACGCCGGCTACAAACAGCCCGACGGCTCCACCCTGGGGGACCCGGCCAACGTGGAGTTCACAGAGGTGCGAGCACGGTGTCCCCCCCCCCCCCCCCCCCGTCCACCCGGGCTCAGGGCCCCGAGCTTTCTTTTCTGGTTTGATGGGCAGCCTTTGGGACACAGGGTGCCCTTCTTCAGACTGGCCGCTGCCCTCCGTCCCCGTCCTCCGGCTCTTTCACGGTCGGGCATTGGGTCACCTTGGTGTCACGTCCTCACCCCCAGCCCCCTGGCAGAAACTGTGGTCCCATTTCACCGGTGGGCGCAGGGAGCAGTTATCCAAGGGAGCCAAATAGGTCAGGGGAAGGCGGGGACCGCAGGGCAAAGCTCGTCCCACCAGGAGGAGAGATGCCGGCAGAGGAAGCCCGTCGGGGCACCTTGGCAGGGTCGAGTGATGTCTCCGACTCGAGGCACCACTCACATTTCGGCCACTGTTGGTCACAATTTTGACTCTGCTGGGCACCAGCCTATAAAAGCCACCAGGAGAGCCACCACCACCCGTCCCCACCCAGGGTTCCTTCCAGGTGGGCCTGTGGGTGGGCACCCCCTGCATTTACCACCCAGCCCGCCCCAGGTGAGCTTCTCTCCGCACCCCCTGGCTCCAGCCCCTGCCAGGCCCGAGGGTGACTCAGCTGCTACCCCTGGGTGCTGGCTTCGCCTGCAGGTGGCTTTTCTTATTAAAATGTGATTATCCTGAGAAGGGGGCTGTCTCCAGGGCAACCAGAGCTGCACCTGTGTGCTCATGGCCCAGCCAGGCACCACTTGGCTGAGCGGAAGGTGCACTTGGCCTTGACCTTGCCTCGAGTCGGCAGAACGGCCCCCTCCTCAGCTCAGCCTTCCAACCGTCCGGCCAGCGCACCCCTCCTGAGCCAGGAGCCAGCGCCTCCCCTCTCGGTCCCTCCCTCGCCACCCTCTAGCCCCGCGCTGTCCAGAAGGGCAGCCGCAAGCCGTGGGTGGCCCCTGAGCGCCTCGTATGTGGCTAGTGCAAACCGAGATGTGCCTTTAGTGAAGGTGCCACCACATCTCTGAGATTCAGTATTCCAAACACAGGGGGCTGGGTGCCTGGCACACACCTGTCATCCCAGCGGCTCCGGAGGCTCAGGCAGGGGGATTGTGAGTTCAAAGCCAGCCTCAGCCACTCGGCGAGGCCCTGAGCAACTTTTCAAGAACGTGTCTCTAAATGAAAAGCAAAATGGGCTGGGGAGGTGGCTCAGTGGATGAGTGCCCCTGAGCTCAATGTCCAGTACCACAAAAATAATAATAATGATGATAATAATCAGTGGAAAAGAGCTCACTGATGGCTCTTGTGTTGGTTGGGGACGTGGCTGAGGGGCAGATATCTGCCTGGCAGAATCCCCGGCACCACAAACATCACAAACAGGTGGGAGCCTGACTATTTAAAGTTTCAAGATTTTGTTCAAAATATATGCATTGATTCCAGATTGAAACGATAATGATGGAGGTACGGCAAGCTACTGTGTTCATAAAAAACTAGCAACCTTACTAGATAAATATATGTTTGATTTTAACATTAACGTTTCAACATGAGTATTAATATTCTAGCGATTTAAATACCTTCGCTTTAACCATTTATCATGGATCAGTTAGTGTTGATCTTTAGTGTGTCTCGTTGTTACATAGTACCTCTATTCGATATGATTTAGACGAAAGTTAGCAATTTCATTTTACTCTCAAATGGATCACTTAGAATAGATGGATACTTTAATACAGGAAGAACATTCACATAAAGTGCTTGCATTCAAATAAATATGTGAATAAAATGGTTTTCATCCCTTTTTTAATGTAGCTGCTAGAGTTAGTCACTCATGTGGCTCACATCAAATATCTATGGGGCAGCTGCCCTAAAAAAAGTGTGTTCTAGACGGTGATTCTTCACCGCAGGGAGCAGACCTTCTTTGCATCTTGAGGCCTCTAAGGTCACGTGACAGACCCCTGACAGAGCCAGCCCAGGACAGACGCCAGGATTGGCCAGCTCTTCCCTTCCCCTCTGGGAGCCCCCAGGGGGCACAGAGGACCCTGCAGATGTAAAGCTCCCTATTGGAGCAGAGGCTTGCCCTGTGTCCTGGGGGGCCACAAGGCAAGGCCAGGGGGACCCTCTGTCCCATGGCAGCGCCCTCTGGGGACTCGCGTTGGGGTCTCTGCTCAGCCCTCACCCCCCACCCCCCCCACCGGGCTGGAGGGCGCAAGGCGCCGAGCTGACCGAGGGGTCTGTTTGCAGATCTGCATCCAGCAAGGCTGGAAGCCCCCGCGGGGCCGCTTCGACGTGCTGCCCCTCCTGCTGCAGGCCAACGGCAATGACCCCGAGCTTTTCCAGATCCCGCCCGAGCTGGTGCTGGAAGTGCCCATCAGGCACCCCAAGTAAGAGGGCTGGCGTGGGGGGTGGGGGGTCCCCGGGCCCCTCTCCGCCCAGCCTTAGTCCCCTGGCTCCCTCTGCAACCCAGACAGGGGTTTCCAGGGGGCTTGGTTCCTCCCCGTGGGCTTGGGTGCCCTCGGGGGCCATCCTGAGAGCAGCCAACCGCGGGAAGTGGACCCAGGGAAGGTCAAGTTCAAAGGGCACCTGGTGCTGGGAGGAGCATTTGCACTTGGAGAGGGAAGAAATTCCACCCCAGGCACCAGGCTCAGGGAGAGGACCAAGGGAGGTCGATAAAAAACTCAATACGTAAATGCCGTGTGTTTCAGAGATCTAACTCAACTCTTTTTTAGTTTATTTTTTTGTTTTTTAAATCCACAAAGAGCCACAGACCAACATTTTAAATAAAAGCAGGATTCAGCTCAGAATTGAGATTAGGGTGACACAAGCAAGGGGGGGTCACACAGGGAGGGGTGGGAGCCTGTCTATTTAAAATTTCAATATTTTATTCAAAATAGATACATAGATGGGCAGCACTAAATTATGTTTTTAATTGCATTAATTTAAAATATTGCATGAAGAAGCAACAGCCTTGATGTCGATTGCTGAGTCTGTTGGGGTCCCCTTAGATTTTGCACCCTAGAGGAGTGCCTCATTTGTGTTCCCTTCCTCCTGGCCCCAGACAGGAGGCCCGGGTCACAAGGCTCCGGGTGCCGCCTGCTCTCTGGGAGCACCCCCAGCCTCCTGGATCCGCTCAGTGACTCAGGCCACATCGTTCCCACTCCAGTCAGGCACCCCGCTGGCCTTTGGGGCTGACTTGGTCCCTACCTCGGTGGTTTTACCTTCTCAAAGAGGAGAAGATCTCACAAACACAACTACTTCATGCTTCTAGGCCCTATAAAATGACTTAATTCCAGTAAAATGTGGCAGTAGGAATTTTATGATGCCCAGAAGTGTGAAGCCACATGGACCCAATAGGACATCAGAGAAGGTTTCCCTGGAGTGAGCAGCATTTTAGCTGAGAATTAAGCATAGGGAGGAGCTGGGAGCACAGATGAAAGAGAGAGGATCCCCAGGAAGAAGGAGCCAGCCGCCTGTGCAAAGGCCCTGGGGTAGAAAGGCGCACCGTGGGTTGCAGCAGAGTGATTTCTCCACACTTTCTCCTGGACTCACTCTTAGTGTAGGTTTGGAAGACCCATGGGCGCCGAGGGCAGTGGTTCCCAGACCTGGGCTGTCTTGCCGTCTGCAGGTTTGACTGGTTCAAGGACCTGGGCCTCAAATGGTACGGCCTCCCCGCTGTGTCCAACATGCTTCTGGAGATCGGTGGCCTGGAGTTCAGCGCCTGTCCCTTCAGCGGCTGGTACATGGGCACAGAGATCGGTGTCCGCGACTACTGTGACAACTCCCGCTACAACATCCTGGAGGTAAGGTCCCTCGGTGGTCCCCGGGGCAGGACACCCAAGGCAGAGGTTTGGAGCCTAGAAACTGGAAGGAGTCCGAATAGAACCACAATCGGGTGAACTTCTGGAAGCATCCGTGTGTCTTTACCAGGGATGGTAGCAACGGCCAACACACAGCACGGACCCCACGCTAACACTGCTTAAGCACCTTATGTATACAGTCAACACCCGCCACCCCCGCTGCCCCGTGTCTGTCGGGGATTCATCCAGGAACCCCCACCGAAGCCCAGGTCCTTTATATAAAAGGCCCAGTATGTGCCTATGACCTACACACCCCCGGCATGCTCAGATCATCTCGAGGTGACTTCTGATACCTCCTACAGTGCTAAACCGAAGGGTTCAGAGGATGAATCATGACAGGGAAGACATGTCTTGGACACGTTCTCTACAGGTGCAAGCTTCTTCCCAAATGTTTTCCTTGGAAGGTTGTTTGAATCTGCATAGACAGAAACCGCGGCTCTGGCTGCAGGTGGGCGTGCGGTGCTCGGGGGCTTGTGTGTTCAGGTGACTAGTCTCTTTCCTTCAAGGTAACAGCTGTGACATTCTCCAAGTTACTGTTTCTATCAGTGGCTTGGAACCCACCAGCTGTAGCACATTCTCATTTAACCCTCACCTTAACCTTAACGTATGATAATCCCCTTAAGGTGGAGAAAATGAGGACTTCCAGAGGGATTAAGTGACAATCTCAAGGTCATGCAGCAAAGGAGGGTAGCATTTCTCCACAGAGGGTCTGATTCTGTCCCCCCCCCCCCACTGAGTCCTCCTGGAGTTCCCGGGGCTATGTTTTGTCAGCCAACGTCCCTACCAACCGTCTTCAGTGGTTGGCCTCATTTCAAAAGAAGATATGGGGGAACAGAGAAGTTAAGTTCTGGGCCTATGTCACACAGCAGATAAGGCACAGAATCATGAGTAGAACTCAGAACCAAGCATTAGGTTTCTGTTGTTTAAATCCATGGGTTCAGGGGGTCCTCGGTCTTGCTGCACCTTGGAGTTTACCCTGGGGGCTTTATGATGCCCAAGTCCCCCTCCCCAGAACCCTGATGTTATTGATCTGGTCAGGACCCCAGGCTTCAGCATTTTGTAACATTTTTTAACTTCCTCAGAAGGTTCTACTGGGTAGCACCCATCTGTACAACCTTCTGACAGGAAAGGGGGAAATATTTCAGATAATTTCCATACATATGGCTCAAGTTGCATTGGGGGATTGTTTTTAAGTCACATAGGTTTTTTTCTTTTGTTTTTCTCTGCAACTAATTGTTCTTGTTTAATTTTTTAAAAAATGCTGTAGAATGCCAGGCACATACTCCTGTCATCCCAGCAGCTCGGGAGGCTGAGGCAGGAGGATCGTGAGTTCAAAGCCAGCCTCAGCAACTTAGCGAGGCCCTAAGCAACTCAGGGAGACCCTGTCTCTAAAGAAAATATTAAAAAGGGCTGGGGACGGGGCTCCGTGGTTAAGCGCCCCTGGCTTTCCATCTTTGGTACTAAAAACAATGCTGTAGATAGCAGGAGCCGCCTGACTGCCCACACGACACTTGGCTCTTTCCTAAACCAGCTCGAGTTTTACATGTATCTGTGCAAAGCAGCAGCTAATGGTTTGCTCTCTGCAAACGCGTCCCTGCTCCAGACCCCAGCAGAACCTAAGGCCTGGCCTCCGGGAGTGCATCACCAAGTTCTCATTCCGCTCTCTGAGTGTGTGTCCCTCGCAAGGAGTCCTCACGGGTAGCTAGACGAGCCTGTCACCCGCCCCAGCCCTCAGTTCCAGCTGCCGTTGTGTACAGACGGTGACAGCTGGGTGGGAAATGACTTCCCCAGTCCTTAGAGATTGCTGCCTTGCAGCCCTGTAATGAGACCTGGGCTCCACCAGGGACCGGCATGACGGGAGGTGAGCAGCTCAGCCTTAATTAACGAGCCTGCTGCTGGCTCTTCCCTGCCCGCTCCGGAGCCGGTGTCTCCCGACTGTCACCAATTCTCTTTCCCTAGTAACTTGACACAGGTGTCACCTGATGAGGAGGCAGCTCCCAGGTCTCCGGTATCGGGCGTCCCCCGAGCTCTCCCTCCACGGCCACCTGGCTCCGTGGACTGTGGACAAGGGCAGACAGGGTTCTGGGCCTCAGTTTCCCTCATCTGTCAGAGCCCAGCAGGTGTCCCTCTGAACTCACAGCCCACCGTCTCGAGTCTAAGTAGTGACCGCTGCAGAGTGGAACAGAACGAGGGGAGCTTCTCCTCCGAGGAAACAGTCACTCCTAAATCCATCGGAAGACCACCCTCGGATTTGAAATAAAATCCTGGCTTCCTGGCACGCCCTCCAGGGTCCCACGGCATCCAGTCCTGCTTCTCTCTCCCACCAGCCCCCACCCCCTGCAGCTCACCATCCTGCAAGCACACGGGTCCTCCTTCTGCTTCTCAGGGGACCCAAGCCTGATTCCCACCCCAGGGCCTTTGCTCTTGCTCTTCTCACTCGCAAGTCCCCGCCCCTGGTCTGCGGACGTCTTGCTTCTTCTCATCATCTCCTCCTCCCATTTCCTTTCTCTTATTTCCTTCCTAGGAATTAACACTAATCATAAAATGAGCTCTCTCCCCACTCTATGGGCATGTCAGCTTCATGACTCAAGGCCTCCTTCATGTCCAGTAGATTCTCAATTAAAAAAAACACACACGACCACTTTTTCAGGAGTGAGTCCATGAGTGACCTGCGCATGAGCTGGTTAGTCCAGGGACCCGCCCTCCTTCATTCTGAAGCACCGAGGGGCCCCAGCCTGTGAGTGGGTTTTGTCCCCCTTCAGGAAGTAGCCAAGAAGATGAACCTGGACATGAGGAAGACGTCATCCCTGTGGAAGGACCAGGCGCTGGTGGAGATCAACATCGCCGTCCTCTACAGCTTTCAGGTAGCCCCTGCCTCACGGGCGCGAGAACCTTCGGAACCTTGGTGCTGAGGGTCGAGAAACCTGGCTACCAAAACCCACCTGGGCGGGGTTCTGTCCACCAGCACGACCTCCCTCCTGTCCGCCTGCCCCCCCTGCTTGCGGGTCCTGGGTGGGGACCCTGTGAGGAAAAGAATACTCGGTGGGGAGGGAGGTCACCACCTATTGCTCACGATGCTTCGGAATTGCCACGAGGAGCTGGCAAGATGACCAACCCCTGTCATCCCCGCGGATCAGGAGGCTGAGGCAGGAGGATCGCGAGTTCAAGGCCAGCCTCAGCCACTCAGCAAGGCCCCGTCTCTAAATGAAAGATTTTTTACAAAGGGCTGGGGATGCGGCTCAGTGCTTCAGCACCCCTGGATTCCAGCCCCAGTGCCCCCCCTTAAAAAAGTTGTGATGACAGGTGTCCTCTGTTCCTGTCCTGTCCTAGGGACTCCGATGACCACATAACAAGTGATAGCCTCACTATCAGAGCCTTGTGGGCCCCCGGAAAGGGTGTGAACGGAGTTAAGTCCTTGGGTTCTTGGTCCCCGGTTTGAAGAATTGGCCCAGGGTGAGAGCCAAGGTGACAGGGTTCCCGGAGTGGACGGGCCCCAGAGAGGGGCGCCCGCTGTCTCGGGGTTCTTCAGGGGTACCTGGTGGCCCTGCGCAGGTGGGCCCAGGGAGGCCGGTGTGGACTGAGTCAGCGCTCCACGCTCTGCGTGTAATAAGCCGATGGCACGTGAACGGTCCCCACCGTGTTACGAGGTTAAGAGGACAGGTCCCTCCTTGGGATCTGACACGTCAGTGGGGTTGACTCTGTGGCCCGCCCTTGCTGGGGTGGGGGCGAGGTAACCAAGGAAGGGTGGCTGCCCTTGGAGCTGCAGGGGACAGGACAGGTGTTCCCAGGAAGCCGTGTGGTGACAGCCCCCAGGGGGTCAGTCCCCCAGACCCCGTGTGTCCTTCCAGGTTGGCGTGAGGTGCCCTTCTCTTGGCCGCCCAGGGGAGATACCTCCACCTGCCTCCATACTGGGGTAGGAGGACTGGACACTCCCTGTCTGAACCTCGACGTGTGGAGACCACAGAGCGGACACTCGGTCACGAACACAAAATCACATTTTGAAACTGACCCGTGATGACCCAGGGCAGGGACAGGATCTGGGGTTCTCTGGTTTTTGCAAAGCAGGTCCAGAGACCAGAGGACGGTCTCCAGAATCGAGGCCAGCTCTGCCCTCGGGGGCTTCCCACCAAGGCTGGATAGGTGGGTGGGAACTGGAAGTCACATGTCGGGGACAGAGAGGGGGCCCAGGGACCAACGGCTCCGAGAACAGAGAAGTCGCGGAGGGTCAGGGCTTGGGAGCTGTTGAGATGACCGCCCGGCTCGGATCCCTGGGGACCCGGGACAACGACAGGCAGGCTGGGGACAGCACGGACGGACTGAGCTGACCAATCAGAAAAGCGCAGAGGGGACAAGATACTGTGGGCGGAGAGGGGAGTGTCACCTGGACATCCATTCCCCACCTGGGAGGGGCTTACCTGGGTGACGTTTTATCCACTCGTTTTAGGACGTAAGACTTTGTATGTTAAGAGGGTTTTACGTCCCCACGCTCACGGGAGAAGTGGGATGGGTGGCCATAAGTAGGAGGGAACAGAATATTGAACCAATGAACAGGAAAAGAAAATTGTTGGAGTCTAGTCACTGCCTGAGGTCCCTCCCCCTTCTTAAAAAGCAGGGAAAGAGATGAAAGACATGGGCACCAACAGAGACTTTCTCCTGGGTGTGATTACCAGTGAGAGAAATGCAGAGAGTCACCGGCTCCCCTCACACTGCTTAGAATCATCTCCAGGACCACCATTCGTTTGCTTTCTTTTCTTTAAATTTTTATTTTTGGGGGGGGTGGGGCGGGGGGTTTCTGGAGATTGAATCCAAGGATGCGTTACCACTGAGCCCTATCCCCAGCCCTTTTTATTTCACTTTATTTATTTATTTTGAGGCAGGCTCTTGCTAAATGGCTTACGGCCTCACTCAGTTGCTGAGGCTGGCCTCCAACTTGCCATCCTCCTCCCTCAGCCTCCTGAGTCTCTGGGATTACAGGCGTGCCTTGCTGGGCTTGGCTTCCCCAACGCCTCTGACTCCTGGTCCCTTCTCTTCTCACAGAGTGACAAAGTGACCATCGTTGACCACCACTCTGCCACCGAGTCCTTCATTAAGCACATGGAGAACGAGTACCGCTGTCGGGGGGGCTGCCCGGCTGACTGGGTGTGGATTGTGCCCCCCATGTCTGGCAGCATCACACCTGTCTTCCACCAGGAGATGCTCAACTACAGGCTCACACCCTCCTTTGAATACCAGGTCCTGCCCCTTCTGCCCCTTTCCGTGCCGAGTCCCCCCCTATCTGCTGTGTATGTTGTGTCGGGAGCACATCTTAATCTGGGCCAGCTCTTTGGATGTGCAAATGCCCAGTGGCCACGTCTGGCTCCTGGCTCCCACACTGGGCAGCACGGGTCTTGCTGAAAGACTAACAGAGACACAATGAGTGCTCGGAGGTCACAAGAAGAAAGTCTGAGGGGACCCAGGGCTGATGGGAGGGGCTGGCAGGACACTACAGGGAGGCAAGGACAGCTATAGTGACCGCAGGTGGAATCCCTGCTCTCTAGGGCTGTGGGGTCGGGCAGCCTCGAGCCCCAGGGAGCCCTGGGCATCTCCATGAGAAGCTGCCGTCCCTCGTGGCAGTGACCAAAGCCCTCTCTCCTCTTCCCAGCCCGATCCTTGGAACACCCATGTGTGGAAAGGCACCAACGGGACCCCCACAAAGCGGCGCGCCATCGGCTTCAAGAAGCTGGCCGAGTGAGTGTCCTGCCATGGGAACCCGGGGTGTGCCCACTCAGAGAGCCCAGAAAAGGGGGACACAGCAGCGGGGCCATTTTTTAGGGAAGTCAGAACCCGGGGGAGCCGGGGGGAGCCAGCCCCAGGCCCTCCCTCGTTTATTTCCTCATTCATTCATTCACTCATTGGTTCGTACTTGAGCCAACAAATGAGCACCAGGTGTATTCTCCACGCCAGGCGCTGGGCTAGGCTCCGCGGGGTCGAGTGGGGCCCCTGATCTCAGGATGCCCCCAGCCATCATCTGTCAAAGAACGAACATGAATGTGGTCAACCCTGGGCCCGTGGCGAGGGCACTGAGAAGTAGTTCCAGGGGTCGTGAAACAGATGTCACCTAGATGTCCCTTGGGAGGTCAGGGAGGACGTCCCTGAATGGGTGAATGAGATAAACAAGGGTTAATGGAGCAAAGAAGGGAAGAGAAGGGGCTGTGGACCAGGATGACCACTGTGGGGGTCCTCTCTTCCTGAAGGATGCTCAGCCACCTGGGGGCCGGCTGGGTAGGGGGGGCCGACTGAGCTGATGGAATGGGGACCCCAGGCTTCTGCCCAAAGAGAACTCCACCGATCCACCGTGTGGGGCAGCCATCGGGGTGGACCGAGCTAGCTGGGGTCCAGAAGCGTCCGTGTGTGCCAATCTAGTTCTGCAGCAGGGGCCACCTCTGCCACGGACCCATGCTGGGTCCCATGGTTCCCGTCCCCATGATTGGCACCTGGGATATCTCTCCCCCTCCCCCTCTCTCCATCCCATCCCACCCGCCAGCCAGGGAGGAGCCCAAGGCAGCACCCTTCCCCCAACAAGAGGATCTGGAATATTCTCAGCCAGGGCCACCTTTGGCTCTAGCTCAGCTCCATCGTCTCCGGGAAGAGAAGGGAGACAGGAATCTAAAACGATAATTGCACCATGAAGTTTGCAGTGGAAACAAAGGGAGTTAATTACAGATGCGCTGTCATGCTCCATCCCTCCCAGGGAACCCTCCTCGCACCTTTAATCCCTTTGGGTTCCCCACCTCCCCGCCCTTAGCTCAGTCTTCCCCCCTCCCCCGCGTGGGTGGCTCCCCTAATTCTGAAAAATTTACCACCGATAATCCCCGGGTGGGAGGTGATTAGCAATTTGTGGATGCTAAGACTCCTGAGAAGAATGGCTTGGGAGTGGAGCCCAGGTACTCGCCTCCCCCAGCCCCTGCCAGCAGAGGGGAGGGGAGGAACCCGGGTTTGAGGTTCTCTGTTGAGCTAGGAGGAGGCTGCATCTGACATCTAAGCTCCCCAGGGCTCAGGTGACATCAGCATCTTTTTAAACTCATCATTTTTCACAGACATTTCTTTTGTGCATGGGAGATGCCAGGTGCCCTGCAAAGCCCTGGATGTCATTGCTGAATAAACCCAGCCTGGCCCTTCCTCTGTGGGTCCCTAAACCCCTAGAACCTTCCGACTCGATGCCTGGTGGATCAATAGTGGTTTGGGCTTTTTTTTTTTTTCCCTCTCTCTCAAATACACACGCGCCCACAAAATAAGCCCCGTGAGTGAACGTGAATGAATGAGGGGTGGGCGGGCGAAGGACTGTCCTTCAAGGCAGCGCGTGGTACCCCGAGGTTCACTAGCAAAACCCACCGGCCACTTTAACCCCTGCCTGACTGCCCTGGGGTTGGGGATAAGGTAGCTCAGTGGGGTGCGTCCACTCAGGGGGCTCTGACTCTTGAAGCATCAAAGATCAAGAGACTCAATTCTCTGATCTCGTGGATCATGGTTCTGGCCCCCAAAATCCCAACCTGGTGTCTGTTTCCCAACTTTCCTCCCCATCCCCGACTCCCAGAGCCGTCAAGTTCTCAGCCAAGCTGATGGGACAGGCCATGGCCAAGAGGGTGAAAGCCACCATCCTCTACGCCACAGAGACGGGCAAATCGCAAGCCTACGCCAAGACCCTGTGTGAGATCTTCAAACACGCCTTTGACGCCAAGGTGGGCAGCGGGCAGTGCCAGTCCCCAAGCCCCTCACGGTGAATACGGTTGGGAAGGGGAGAGAGGGAAGTGGACAGAGAGGAACTCTGGCCCAAGGACGAAAGATGAAGATGCGCATCAGCACACACTGCTGCCAGTTTCAGGGGACTGTCATAGTCCTCTCCCCACGAACCCAGTAGGAGTCCAGGAACCACCAAATGAAATGCCTGACTCTGAAGAAAAATGTTAGTGGGTTTTTGAGAAACCATCCTGCCGCAGTCCGGCTGCAGCAAACTAACCGGGGGGTGACGAGGAACTTGTGTACATTGATACAGCAGGAGTGGGAGCCGTTTACTGCAGGACAGGAGGGGAATATATACATTCCACACAGCTTATCTTAATTAACATAAACTAAATACAGCAGTCAACCAATAAGGAATCTCCACACTTAATGGCTCCCTGGCGTTACTTCACAAACCACTCCCTCTGGCAAAATGCCAGGCGCCATCCTGACTTGTTTACAGACCCTAACACCATCCTGGAGTCAGTTTTAGAAAGTTCTGTGCTAAAGACAGCTCGGGGGGCCTCACGGCTACAGGACTTCTCAGAGCCTTTAATGCATAAACAAACGTGCATTATAATCTCCTAAGGAGGAAAGGGTAGGTTATAAATGTTTCCCAAATATGATTTTTTGAGAGATACCAGGGATTGAACTCAGGAGCACTCCACCACCGAGCCACATCCTCAGCCCTAGTTTGTATTTTATTTAGACACAGAATCTCACTGAGTTGCTGAGGGCCTCTCTGTTGCTGAGGCTGGCTTTGAACTTGCAATCCTCCTACCTCAGCCTCCTGAGCTTCTGGGATGACCGGCATACACCACTGCGCCCGGCTCCCAAATATAATCGACCCTGGGTCATTTCTTTTCATGGGGCACCCCATCAGTCTGGACTTCCTGAGACCCTACTTTGACAAATGTGGTGCGGGTGATGCTGAGGCTCAGGGTGACAGTCTCAGATTCATCTGATCCGGGGGCTTCATGCTACAGGGGCCAGATTTAGAGAAGGGGTGGAGCGGGCCACTTAGATCCAGCCAGGCCATTCCCAGCCTGAATGGGGACAGGAAGAATCCAGGGTCCGTTGGTGGTAAGAATCCCAAGGACTTCATTCAAGGTCCGTTTCTCCTGGCAGCCAGCCCTGGGACCACGGCCCAGACCCTGCAGCCTTCACCCCAGTGACCACAGGAAGGTCCTCATGCTACTAACAGGCTTCTGGTCCACCCACTTGAGCCCATTGATGAGCTGACAGCCCAGAACATCTGCTCCTCTTTCCAAAGGACATGACTCAAAATGACTCACCTTCTCCCTCTCTCTCCTCCTCTTCCCATCCCTTTGGGTTCCCTCCCCCCCCCATACCCCCCCCTTCCCTCCTCTCCCCACCCCCCATGCCTGTGTCCCACCAGGTGATGTCCATGGAAGAATATGACATCGTGCACCTGGAACACGAAACGCTGGTCCTCGTGGTCACCAGCACCTTCGGCAACGGAGACCCCCCGGAGAATGGGGAGGTGAGATGGGCTCCCCCTGTTCTAGGATGGGGTGCCCTCAGCAGGAAGCAGGAGGGCCTCGCTGGGACCCTCCCTCTCCACCCGAGATTCAGAACCAGAGTCCCCCCAGAGCCAGTGACGTCGGTCGGATCCAAGTCATGCAGACACTGGACAATCCCCAGTTCTCAGGCTGTGGGTGTCCACTGTTCAAATAGTCCTAGTGAAAATGTCACCTGAGTGAGCGCCTTGTTTAGAAAGGGGAGCCTGGTGTCCCCTGCTAAAGACTCAGGGACAACATTTTTATAAAGAGAAGGCCACCCAGGAGCGTTGTGTCGTGGGGGTAGAGTGTCCACGCCTGCCGTCCCTTAAACAGCTGACCTTCCATTATACCTGCTGCTCACCTTGGCCGCCCACCTGAGCCCTGGCCATCCCTGATATCTGGCTGCCAGGCATCGGGCTCCTCGTTGACTGGCCAGGACCCCAGGCCCTGTGCCCGTCCCCCTTGCAGACTAACTCATACAGACGTCCTTCACATTTTCCTCCTCTGTTCTAACCTCCAGAAATTCGGCTGCGCTTTGATGGAAATGAGGCACCCCAACTCCATGCAGGAGGAGAGGAAGTAAGTGACCAGTCCCTCCAATGTCAATGACAACCCCTGGGATCCCTGGAAATTACGTTTTGGCTCCTGGGATTCACATTTGAGTTGTGGCTGGTGGTTGTGACCCAAAGTCCATTGAAGACTGAATTTAGCTGGCAGGTGTCTGGGATTCACTGGGGCTGGCATCTCAGTGCCCAACCAAGTCCCTCCTAAGCTCTGTGACTCAGTTTCTCTTTATGTCAAATAGAGGTGATGATAGCTACCTTAACTTTCCGATGAGTAAGAATCAAGTCCAAAAATGGACGAAAGAGTCCTAGGAAAAGTTAAGTGCACGGTGTATACATCGTTCTGATTCTCCCCCCCACACACCTTTGGAGATCCCCATTCAAAATCAGTGAAAGCTGCCTCTCGGGCTTTTCGATCTGATGCTCACAGTGGACCCGCAGCCAGTGCAGAGGTTAAGTTCAAAAGCTGGACAAGATCACCTCACAAGGCAGAGACGCCCCTGGTGCACAGACATTCATGAAGGAATTGCACCTCGCGTGGGACTGGGTTCTGAAGGCGTTCCACAAGGTGGACGGTCTGTTATCTAGACTTCCTCGTAAAAGCCCCAGGACCCTCCGTGAGGGCACCTGGTGTGGAGCAGATCCCTGTGTCTTAAGATGAGCATCGCATGTCATAGCTGACTGGCATTTAGAGATGGTGTTGTGCAGAAAATCACTCTTGGTTTTCTCCCTGCAAAACACATGTGGTCAATCCCATCCCAGAGCCCCGGGTGACCTGCCCTCGTCCATACCTGGCTTCAGCACCTTGGTCCTGGGTGGCCTCCCTGCGGGTCACCCCTCACCCCTCCTTCAGGGAGAGATAGGGCTCCATCCATTCTCCCCTCTAGGTACCCGGAACCCTTGCGTTTCTTTCCCCGTAAAGGGCCTTCCCTCCCCCCTGGTGACACTGAAGTCCACGGTCTGGCTGCCGCCCGTGACAGCCGGCACAGGTAGAGCGTGTATGTGTACGCATGCATGCGTGTGCAAGCGTGTGTGTGCATGTGTGTGTGCGCGCGTGCACCCGTACGTATGCATGTCCTACACCCCAGCATCCCTGGCCACCGCCCCCCGGGGTCTCCAAGTGACCTGGATTGTACCCCAGGCTGTGCCATTCGCCCATTCAACCACCTGGGCAAACCACTTGACTCCCGTGGGCCTCGGTCTCCCGCGGCTGCCAAATGGGGAGCGATGATCCTGCCCCGCCCACCTGGGGGGGCTGTTGCCAGGGTTCCCGGGAAAATAACAACGGGACAGCATTTGGAGGAACCTCCAGCCTCATACGGATCCACGTGCTGCTATTCTTACCCCACAACTGTCAGCCTGCCTCCCCCGCTAACCACACACACCCCCTGAGATGCTGCATGACTTATTTGGAGAAGTGACTCAATGTGAGGCTATTTTGGGGGCAGAAAATACACTTTCGTATATTTAGAACTTTCCTGATGCTGGAGCGGACACTTTGACGAGCGTCCAGTTTAGAAACGCTGCTGCCAGAACGCACAGAATTCTTTTTATGTCTTTTATTTTTTCCCCTTTTTGCATTCAGATTTGTGCATTGGGTTCTCGCCTGGAGTTTGGGGGCTTGGAATTGTTTTTGTTTGTTTCTTTGTCAAGTGTTGGGGTTTGGGTTTGGGTTTGGGTTTCGGTTTGTTTTTACCTTGTGTGCAAGCAACACGTACCCCTAGGAGAGGAGAACGGATGGGGGTGTTTTGGGTTTCGTTGTTTCAAGGTCTCGAGATTCCTGAGCCTCTCGGGCTGAGGTTTGGGTCCCAGGACATTTTCTTTCCCCTTGAAAATAATTTAATTATATATATATAAAAGCAGCGATGTCTTTTCATGCAGGGTATCAGTGCTAAACATTTCTTATGTTTGCCTGAAATGTGACCTGCGACCCAGGAAAAATGTCTAAGATCTATGACTCTATGAAAGGAAAGAGTTGACCAGAATAGACCAGCCCGGTTCTGCAGAACTTTTTTTCTTTTTTTTTTTGGTACCAGGGATTGAACCCAGGGGCGCTCTCCCACTAAACCACATTCCCAGCCCTTTTTATTTATTTATTTATTTTTAATTTTGAGACGAGGGTCTTACTAAGTCACTGTGCATGTTGCTCAATTGTTGAGGCTGGCCTCCATCCTCTTGTCTCAGCCTTCCTAGTCTCGGGGATGACAGGTGTGTGCCACTGTGCCCAGCTTCCAGGATAGAGATATTCTACATCCGTATTGATGGTATACCAGTCACTGTCCCCACATGGCTGCTGGATTCTTGAGGTGTAGCTAGTGCATGTGAGGACAGGAATTTTCAACTGCATCTCATTGTAATTAATTCAAGTGTAAATAGCCACACTTAGATGATGGCCGCCATATTGGAAAGCGCCATATTGGCTGCCATATTGGAAAGCCAGTTCCTGGCTGTTAAAGCGAGACCTGGGGACTAGCAAATTGGCACTTCTTGGGGACTTGTTAGAAATGCCAATTTTCAGACCCCACCCCAGACCTCTTGAACCAGAGTACGCATTTTAACGAGACCCTGGAATGATTCCCGTGCGTGTTAAAATTCCGAGAGCAAGGGAGCATGGCCTATGGTGAGGGGAGGGTCCATTCTGCTCCTGACATCTTATTAATTTAGCCATGTTAACGGTATGGGCTCAGGATCCATAAATGGAGCATGGCCACAAGCCTTTGAAGTTCCAGGGAGGGTCCCATGCAGGAGGATAATTATCGTGGTGGGGGGGCGAGAGTTGACCCGTTCTTGAAGAGACCCCGGGAGTGGTATGCATTGACTCCACAAACCCAACAGAGAAGGTACCAGGACCAGTGACTTGAAGATCCACAGGGGGTGTGGGCCTCGGGAGGGGGTCCAGGCGAACCTCACAGACTCTCGTTCACCTTGGCAGGAGCTACAAGGTCCGGTTCAACAGCGTCTCCTCCTACTCTGACTCACGCAAATCATCCGGCGATGGGCCTGACTTCAGAGACAACTTTGAGAGTGCTGGACCCCTGGCCAATGTGAGGTGAGCAAAGGTCCTGGGGTCACGGGAGACGGAGGCTCTTGGGGAGCTGGACCTTGGTGCAAGATGGGTTCTTGGTTGCAGGGAGGGGTCTCCCATTCATTGCCCCTTTATTCCCTTATAAAACCAGGCTGTCTGGGACCCTCCATCCCATCTCGCTGGCTGACCCTTCCTGTGGCCTCTCTGACCGTTCACCTCTCTCAGAGCCCCAGCACCCGCAGTCCACCCCATGGGCTGAAGCGTATTATTTCCTATCGGTCACTGAGCTTCCCTTCCCAGTGAACACATTTCATACCTGATAGAAGTCTCGGGAGCAACCCTGCCAGTGACTCTGAACCCTGAATATACCCAAAATCCACCTGAGAATACTCACAACATACCCACACCATAGCCAAGCCCCGCTTCCCGAGATTCGGATGTAACTGGTACAAAATGTGGGCCCACGCCTGGACTTTTTTCCTTACACTCTCTCAGTGACTCTAGCACGCAGTCCGATTTTTAAAAGACCAGCCTAACCCCATGTTTGCCAAAGCAGACTCACCTGCCAGAAGATAATTTTAGGTGGTCCGTGGACAGACGTTTTTGTTCACCAGCCGTGTGTTCAATTGAATGTGCATTTTCAAGGACGTGAAACTGTGATGTCAGACCTTCGGTCTCATGGATATTGGTCAAAACAAGACTGATGGAGAACGTTCAGTCCTACCCATGAGCCTCTTCAGCCCTCCGTAATTGACATGTCTTCACAACTGCTCAGAGCAGTGCTCAGTAGACAATTCCTAGATATTGAAGGATCGTGTCCATCAGTACATTTTTAAATAGGCTTGAGTTTCAAAAGCAATTTTAGGTTGCCTTGTAAAAAATTGTACAGAAAGTACAAAAAAAAAAATTGAAGCCAGGCACGGTGGTACATGCCTATAATCCCAGCAGCTTGGGAGGCTGAGGCTGGAGGATCGCGAGTTCAAAGCCAGCCTCAGCAATAGCGAGGCCCTAAGCAACTCAGTGAGACCCTGTCTCTAAATATAAAATAGGGCTGGGTATGTGGCTCAGTGGTCAAGTGCCCTGAGTTCAATCCCTGGTACCCCACCAAAAAAAAAATTTTTTTGAATCATATCCCAAAGGCCTCAACTCCCCTACCCTAAACACATGTGGTCTCCCAACATCAGCCTCCTGTGACAACATGGTACATTGGTTAGAATCATTATCAGCCAAGGCCAAGAGTTTACTTTAGAGTCCCCTGTTAGTGTGGCACATTTTGTGGGTTTTGACATTAGTACATTTTTTAGCTGAACATTGAAACTTCAGTTCTAGAGTTTGACAGTCAGACCTACTTTATTCTTATTAAATCTATCACAGCCTCAAGTTGGCAGACAAATGCCCACAGGCCAAGCCCAGCTTGGCCACGGCATGTTTTTGTTCAACCCTTCGGCTAAAAATGGTTTTTGTTTTTTTACAGATGAGTAATTGGAATTCATGATAGAGAACATCTTTGAGATCCACTTAAACAAAATGTTATCCACTCCCCCAAACCAAAAAAAAAAAAATCCTATTCTTCTCATTAGTAGCCCTGAAAAATTTGTACTCAACTATTATTATATTTTTTAAATTTCATCAATTAAAAAAAATGTACTGAAGATTTTTCCTCTTGTTACATAAATGCCCAAAGAATAGCTTCTATTTTGTAGTCCTTAAAATATTTGCTATCTGGCCCCAAATGTAAGAAGTTAGTCAACTGCTGTTGGAGACTTAAAATGAAAGTTTTGAAATCCTAAGTACAAATTGTGGTAGGACTGTGAGTCTACCAGTAACCAGAGTAGGTCTCTAGGTCCATTAAGAAGTGAATTAAGGAATCGACTCTCTGAACCATTTGAGTTGAATGTCTTAGTCAGTACAAGATGCTGTAACAAAATACCACAACTGGGTGGCTTATAAACAACAGAAATTTATTGCTTACGGTTCTGGAGGTCAGGAAGTCCAAGATCAAAGCCCTGGCAAATTCAGCATCTGCTGATGGCTCACTCTTGGGTTAGTAGATATTACCTTCTCCCTGCATCCTCACTTGGTAGAAGGGAAGAACTCTGTTCTCTTCAGCCCCTTAAAAGGACACTAGTCTTACTCTCTAGGGCTCTGCCCTGATGACCTAATCATCTCCAAAGGCCCCACCTCTTTATCCCATTGCCTTGGAGATTAGATTTCAACATGAATTTTGAAAAGACGCCAACATTCGGTCCTTAGCATGGGGTTTGATCAGCTGGAGAGTAGAAGTGAAAAGCGAGTTAAAGAACAGGAACAGGAGTCCAATATGGCCGCCATCACAAGTACAAGTAACAGATACAAGTAACCACAAGCCGTGCTCAGCGCGGGCAGTTTCCACATCTGCACTGGGCCAAGGCGAAGGCAAAGGCTTGGGGCAGGGGTGCCCTTTCCTGACACCCCCACACATACCAGTCCTCATCTGGTCACCACATCTGCCACCTGTCATACGAGGGAGGGGACAAGGGACAACATAAATGTGTGTTTGAGAGGAGTGTTAACCCCCATCTGGGAGACGCCTGAACAGATCTCAAGTTCATCTTCCAGTGATGGGGAGTCCCTCCCTTCCCAACTTCACTCCCCTTCCCTTCTCCTCCCCTGTCTCCATCTGTCACTGTCTGGTCCCGGGGGTTCTCAAAAGGAGATTCAAGGACAGGGCAAGACCCCGTGCCGCAGGTTTAATAGCGCCACTTCTTGACCTGTGAGGTGACCGTCAACAGCAGGGTGAGGGGTTCTTGTGCCCTCTGTGGACCTACCGCTCCACTTCCGGAGAGGTCCAGAACCGCAGGACCCACCCCAGAAATGTGGCCCAGAGTGTCTGTAAGAAGGGCCGTGTGGGACACCACCCTCCGCTCTCCGTGCCCACCTAACATGGAGGAGAAGCGCATCAGCGCGGCCCCCGCTGGCTCCAACCCCGACACCTGTATCTCGACAAAGAGGAAGAGAAATTAATGTGTGAGGCACATAAATTTCACAAACATGCCCCGGGGTGGAGCCAGCCTGGTTACAACTCTTTCCTCTCCTTTCGGAAAACGCTGATTACACACCAATGTTCCATGTGCTAATGACAGGTCCGTCTGGTCACCTTAGTACCTCCGGGTCCCTGAAGACCATGGTGTTGGAGTCTTCCTTGTCTGTCTAACGGTTCCTCTTGCAGAATTCAAGCCTCCCACTAAGATAGACTCTTGTTCCCCATGAGTCCAGCTTAGAAAGGGATAACGGTCACTGCTGTCCCTTGCGGTCCCTCCTGAGAACCATTTGGAACTTTCTCCTGAGGTTGGTGACAGCTAGCAGAGACCAAACAGATGACAGGAGAGACCTCAAGGGCTCTGGCGATTCAAGGAGACCTTCTCCAGATGGCTTGGGGTGGCTTCAACTCCATCAGCGAAACACAGTCCCACCTGAGATGCTAGTTAGGTGTGTCCACCTTCACCAAATACAGCGGCCTGTGCGGAAGCAACAGAGATGGATCTTCTCATTGCTCCAAAAGCTCGAAGTCCAAGATCAGAGTGCCAGCCGTGTTGACTTCTGGCGTGGCCTCTCCTCCTGGCCTGCAGATGGCCGCCTTCTTTATCATGTTGCAGAAAGAGAGAGACAGAGATAGGGACAGACAGAGAAAGGGCACACACAAGCGCTGGTCCTGTGGGATTAGGGGTCACCCTTCTGACTTCCCTGGCTCTCACCATCTCCCCGAGGCCCTACCTCCAAATGCAACCACTCTGGAGTTTAGGGCTCCAACGTGAATTTGGAGGGCACACAGTTCAGCCCGACATCCCCCATGTCACCCCCCCAGTCCCTTACCATGGACCTTCTGTTGTCCCCTTGCCAGGTTCTCGGTGTTCGGCCTCGGCTCCCGGGCCTACCCCCACTTCTGCGCCTTCGGACACGCCGTGGACACCCTCCTGGAAGAGTTGGGGGGGGAGAGGATCCTGAAGATGAGAGAGGGGGACGAGCTCTGTGGACAGGAGGAGGCTTTCAGGACGTGGGCCAAGAAGGTCTTCAAGGTAATCCCCACCTCAGAGACCCAGGGAGGAGCGCTCCCCCCCCACCCACCCAAAGACAGCACCCAACCCAGGAGAAGGAGAAGGAGCCCTGGGACTTCTCCGCAGCTCCAGTGGCTCCAAGGGGCTTTAAGTCACAATTTTCCACCCAGCAGCCAACATTATACATTATGGGCAGGGAGCGGGTCCACAAACAGAAACGGTAGGGGCTGGAGGTGTAGCCAGAGGTCGAGGGCTTGCCTAGGATGCACGAGGCCCTGTGTTTGTATCCCAGCACTGCAAAAAAAATAAATAACAAAATTCCAGAGTCTGTGCATGCACAAGATTGAGTGAAAATTAAAACAGAACTAAAGGTTTCCTGCCGCAGTTACGCTGTCCACTCGTATGTGCTAAGCAGCCCCGGCGGCCAGGGTCACCCTCTGAAGTGCAGAGCGTCTCCACCTTGGTAGGACCTCCTGCCGGACGGCACTGCCCCCAACACAAGGTCACCGGAGGAGAAGAAATGCAGCAGAGCCAGGTGTCTCAGCGTGGGGCAGGACTAACTGGCCATCCTGGGAGCAGGGGACATTGAATGTGGCCCCTGGTGCCTTTCCCCCCTCCTGCACCGCCCTGAAGTGTATCCTTATCCACAGCCCAGGAGAAGGAGAGCGGGGCAACTCCTTTCACTTAACCGGCACTTCTTCAGAGAACAAAAAGGGAAACTGAGGCCCGGGGCTGTAAGGACTTCTGGGAGGGAGGCCGTGTCCACAAGCCCATCCCTGATCTTCCACCCAGACCAAGAGCTGAGAGAGCTTGGCTTTTTTTCACACCAAGTTATGAGTACCAGGGGTGGAACCCAGGGGTGCTCTGCCACTGAGCCACCCGCCCCAGCCCTTTTTACTTTATCTGGACACAGGGTCTTGCTAAGTTGCCCAGGCCGGCCTTGATCTCGTGGCCTTCCTTCCTCAGCCTTCTGAGTAGCTGGGGATTACAGGCATTACTGCGTCTAGCAATGGTACGGCCCTGGATTTCAGACTGTGGAATTGCTAAATGTTCATTGTACCACAGGTTCTTTGTCCAGACTCCCTTAGACCGACCATTTCCTCCCTGTGGAAGGAAGCAAGACCTGTTTAAAGCCACTTTGCCCTTCAGCTACAAACCTCCTGTTCTCCCCTCCCACCCTTTGCTCTAGCACCACTAATCCCATGTCTGCATCTTAATTTCCCTGTTGTGTTCATTTCATATGAATGGAATCACATTAATAGGAGGCCTTTTGTGAGTGGCTTTTCCCACTTACCATCATGTTTTCAAGGTTCATGTTACAGCAGAAATCAAGACTCTGTCCCTTTTTCATGGCTGACTAATATTCTATTGTATGGATATGCCACATTTTATTTACCCATTTGTCTATTGATGGCTTTTTTGAATGGCTTTCAAATCAACAAGGCCAGACAATATGAAAAGCTATCCTTGAAAACTTTAATTTTCTTTTTGGCAATGCTGGGGATGGAACCCAGACCTTATACGTGCTAGGTAAATGCTCTACCACTGAGCTACACCTCCTTGAATTTTATTATTAAAAAAAAGAATTCTGTGGTGGCATGCATCTCTAGTGCCAGCTACTCAGGAGGCTGAGGTGGGCGCATCATGTGAGCTTGGGAGATCTAGACCAGCCCAGACAACACAGGGAGACCCTATGTCAAAAATAAAAATAATAATTTTGAACAGTAATTCTTAGGATCCTTAACGTTGAGGAACAGATGGCTTAGCCAAAACAAAACAAAGCAAAAATGTGGGCTGGAAATGGAGACCAAGGGCAGAGCACATACCTACATGCACCAGGTCCTGGGTTCAATTCCCAGGACTGTGAACAGAAAAGAAAAATATACCTGAGGTGTACAGGCACTCCATACACTCTGATTTTAAATAACTTTAAAAGTCTTTTGAGGAAAATGAGTAGGAAATTCTATGGCGTTTACTTTCTTCTTTAATGCTCAGCCTTCACACGTGTTGGTTTTAGAGATCAATGTCACCAGAGTTATAGCTTAAGTAGAGGCTAGGTCCTAAATCAATGGAAAATGTGAGGTGTCCAGCACCTTGCAGGCACTTAAAAAACATGGGGTGGATGGGTTGGATGGGTGGATAGGTGGATGGGTAGGTGGATAGATTGATGGATGGTGGATGGACGGATGGATGGACAGATGGATAGTTGAGTGGATGATGGATGGATGGATGGATGGATGGATGGATGGATGGATGATGGATGGATGGGTGGGTAGATGAATGGACAGGTGGATGGATAGATGGGTTGATGGATGAATGTGAATCCAAGTGGATTTAAATCACACATTTTCCACCCAGGATGGATGGAAGGATAGATGGATGGATAGAGAATAGGTGATGGGTGGGTAGATGGATTGATGGGTAGAAGGATGGATGAATGAATAGATTGGTGGGTGATTGATGGATGGATGGACAGATGGGTGGATAGATGGATGGATGGATGGGTGGATGGATGGATGGATGGACGGGTGGATGGATGGACGGGTGGACGGGTGGATGGATGGATGGATGGATGGATGGATGGATGGATGGATGGGCAGGTGAATGGATGGATGGATGGATGGGCAGGTGAATGGATGGATGGGTGGGTGGATGGATGGATGGATGGATGGATGGATGGATGGGTGGATGGATGGATGGATGGATGGACAGGTGGATGGAAGGATGGATGGATGGATCGGTGGGTAGATGGATGGATGGATGGATAGATGGATGAGTGGGTGGGTGGATAGATGGATGAGCAGGTGGATGGAAGGATGGATGGATGGATGGGTGGGTGGGTGGGTGGGTGGATGGGTGGATGGATGGGTGGGTGGATAGATAGATGGGTAGATAGATGGATGGGCAGGTGGATGGAAGGATGGATGGGTGGGTGGGTGAAGGATGGAGGGAGATAGAGAGAAAGGGAGGGAAGAGGGAAAGAAAAAAGGGAGGTTGAGTGGATGGAAAAACAGATTCCATGACTTGGGACTATTGGAGAGGGGCCTCTCTTGGCCAAGAGAGGCCACCCAAAGCCCTGTGTGTGCCACAGGCGGCCTGTGACGTGTTCTGCGTGGGGGATGACGTCAACATCGAGAAGGCCAACAACTCCCTCATCAGCAATGACCGCAGCTGGAAGAGGAACAAGTTCCGCCTCACCTACGTGGCCGAAGCACCAGAACTTACCCAGGGTAATGGGCACCACCGCCCCACCCCCACCTGGAGGCCCTTCACGACAGCGCTGGGGTGGGGGGGAGGGAAGGTGGGGGACCTCACCTGGAAAGGCGCCTCAGTGCCCTCAATGGGTCGGTTTGCTGGACGTCCAAGGGCAAGCCTTCAAGAGTGGACTCGCCCCTCACCTGCCCCACACCCAGTGCACTGGGGAGCTTCTCTCTCCCGGAATAACAAGTCCCCAAGCCATCCTGCTTCAGTCCCAGCCGATCCCAGCCCATTCTCATGTCTTGTCTCCTCACTTGACCGCAGTAGGAGCAGGAATAGAGGGTCCCTGAAAACCTGGGGCACCTTAGAGGTGCCCTATATCCCCTGAGGGAGACCGGTGTCGCTCTCCACAGGGCTCTCCAATGTCCACAAAAAGAGAGTCTCCGCCGCGCGGCTCCTGAGTCGACAGAACCTCCAGAGCCCCAAGTCCAGGTAGGAATGTGGACGTGTCCTCCTCGGCTCCCAGGGGCCACTCACCGCACGGGAGGGCATCTGCTCCCTCCTTGGAGGACCACTGCAAAGTGCCACTGAGCCGCACCCCCCGCCTTGGTGCCTGTCACATGTGGGTTTCCTGTGCCTAGAGGCAGGAACAAAGGAGATGGTGCTGGTCCTGTGAACAGGGGAAAGAGAAAAGTTCTGAGTGATTCTTCACAGTGGGCCACACTCGTGTGGAATTGCTGAGGGCTACTGGACCCCAGGATCTTCATCAGAAAGATTAGTTCCCGCATTTCCTCCAGGTGGACCATTTTTCTGCAGAGCCCTGCAAAAATAGCTAGCTGGCCTCTGCCTAAATGTCTCTGGGATGAAAGGGGGTTTCTCCAGTCCCCCAAAAAATTGCACTCCATGTTGTGCTAGAAATTATCTGAACACCTAACATAGCCAAATATCCAGTCTATATAATATAGTTAAATACCTTATTACCTAAAATAACCCAAGTCTGTCTTCTTAGCAGTTTATGTTAAACCCAGTGAGCCTTCTCAGTGACACCCAAGACAAATTCATGTCTTTCAAATGAGAAACCTTCTGGGTATGGTGGCACTTGCCTATAATCCCCTCCACTCTGGAGGCTGAGGCAGAAGGATCGCAAGTTCGAGGCCAGCCTCAACAACTTAGCGAGACCCTGTCTCAAAATAGAAAAAATAAAAAGGGCTGGGGATGTGGCTCAGTGGCAAAGTCATCCTGCCTCAGATCTGGTCTGCCAAGCTTTGGGCTATAGTAAAAGGGTACACTCTGTCCTGTTGGAAACGTCATTTGCAGACCTGGTCACGGTGCAGCGGAAGTCGTATGCTCGCTGCCGAGTGCGCTAGGGCTATTATTGCCGCTGCTGATCTGAACAGGATGTGCTCCTGTCACCCGAGAATGCGGGTGCTGTCCCTAACAGCCCGCTCTCCCATTAAGCCAACGTCCTCCCTGCCCCTTGACATCTCTCTTCTCGAAATGATCAAACCAGGGCTGTCCACCCCTCCCCTTGTATAAAATTTTTTTTTTTAAGCACTAATGAATGTCTTTGTGTTGATCCCTGTTGAATCTCGCTTTGTAGTTTAGAGCCCAGGAAGAGCTTTTGAAATCTTGATTCTTTGCACAGCGTCATACAAACAGCGTGCGGTCCGCCTGCACAGCCCCGGGTTCTGACCCCAGCTCTCCCCTGCACGAGCTGTGTGGCCTTGAACAAGTCGCCCAGGTGCTCGGAGCCCATGTCTCCTTCTCTGTGACACAGGAACGAGGGCTGGAGAGATTGCTCATGTTTATCTAGTACTTCCCACGTCCTGAGCACGGTCCTGAGCTCTCTGCACAGGACCTCACATCATTTATACCAGCCCAGGAAAAAGAGACGGTCTCGTTTTAAATAGGAGGAAATGACAGGAAGTAGAAGTGACTGTTTCAAGGTCACACTGACCCTTTCCAGCTTCACCTCACCTGCCAGTGAGCACACCTGCTTCCTGTGGGGTCTTTGAAACCTTGGATGACCGTGACCAACCTGTCACAGCCCCAGATCCACCTGTTAGAGCCAACCGGTTCCTGTCTCCTAGATCCTCAAACATTAAAGAAGTAGATTGGGAGATTGATCTCTGAATAATTAGTTAAATACAGTGTTCGGAGCTCAGCGAGCTCTGATCTATAGCGAGAGATCCTCCACGTGGCGTGTGCACCTCACTTTCCACTTCTCTCCCGGGGAAAGGTGTGACTTGCACAGCAATGAAAGAGAAGGGGCAGACAATCTGCCCCAACCTTGAAAGTCCAGTTGAGCAGTGCCCCCCCTAAACCACAGTACAGAAGCAACAAAGGAAAACTGCAGATATTTTGATACCAAAGTGGAACCAAAGTCCCAAATTAGCCTCTGTCCCTTCTCTAAGCGGAAGGTCTAAAAGGGACAGATGAGAAAATTCCAAACAAGGCTAGGAACTAGAACATAGTATTAAAATCTGTCGTGAATTAGCACAAAGAGGACCAAATTGTACCTAAGTGTTCCTCTCTTTAAAAGCAGGCTCTGGCGTGGTCTGTTTCCAGGCTCAATACCGTTTCCAGCTCCCGAGGTTTGTTATGAGGAATCGAGGGGGAAAGCATCATGCTCCCATTTTTCTCCTGCCCGAGGCTGGGCTCTTTGGCCCTGGAGGCCGCGACTCAGATTCACAGATCACCCCCTCTAGAGGCCCTTAATTGCAAACAAAGTGCCGAGGAGGAAGTAAACCGCTTCTCCAGGGCGATCCTTGCGAATCTAAAGAGAAAAGTGACCACAATGGGTCCTGCCTGGAAATAGAGGTTCTAATCCGTGGACAGCAATTAGCTCACAACGCAGGGGAGCCGGTAATGGAGCACTGATGGGTGAGCAGGGCGAGTCCTAGAGGTCGGGAGGAACGGGCGGTGGCAGAGCCTGGGTCTCCAGGGGAGGACAGGAGAGCCACGGGGCACAGGGGCCCGAGGCCCGGGTTTGGGAGAAGAGCAGACATTGTGGTGGAGGGTCCTTGTTGGAATTCCCATCTCCCCGTGGACAAAGCTGCTGATCTCTGGCCTTGCCTGCCTCCGCAGAGGACAAGGACAGCCCGAGGGGCTGCCTTGGCTCCTCCCCCCTCCCCCTACAGCCGCAGATGCACTTGGCCTTATTCAGTCCTATCTCAGACCCCCAGGGCGGCCACCTTGAGCAAACCTGTGACCATCTCCCATCTGAGTGACTGAAATAGCGGCCCACCTCGTCACTGTTTCTTGGCTTTTCTCTCAGAGATCTGTTTTCCAAACAGCAGCCTGAGCAAGTCTTTAAAAACCTGAATTGAAGCATGTCACCCCCTTCATTTCACAGCCTTGCCACTGAGCATAGGGAACCCTCCAGACTCTTTGCCATGACAGATTGTGACAAGGCCCGCAGGATCTGGGCCCTGACACTCTCCAAACCCTCTGGCTGTCTTTCCCTTCCTCGAATAGCTCCTGCCTTTTTCTGCCTCAGGGCCTTTGCACATCCATCCCCCTTTCCCGGAACCCTCTGGATCTTTGTGCACCCACTTCTTCTCATTTTCAAATTCCCGTTCGAATGTCAGATCACAAAGAAGCCTTCCTGACCACCCTACCTGCTCTCCACCCACCGCCATCACCCAGCCCCTCCAAGTACCCTGGGCCATGTGGCCATTCAGTTCCGTGATCTCATCCAGGAGCCTGCAAAGCCCCTTTGCTTAAAATCCCACCACGCTGGGCAGAGCCTGGGCCAGCTACTTTCATTTCCTCCTACCCCTTACCCTCTGCTACATTCAAGAGGACCTGGGGAAAGTGGCTGGGAGTGTGAGCCGGCTGGTCAAGTTCAGGTCCTCTGCATTGTGATCTTGTGCAAATCCTGATAGTCACGGGAGAAAGCAGGTATTGATTTGGCAGCCTTTCAAAAGGCTTCCTCTGCGGGAGCCCAGGAGGCTCCCAAGTGAGAAGCCTACAGCGCCCCCTGGCTGCTGGCTGCGGCTCACTCCCTGCCTGCCAAGGCTAGGTAATGAGGTCTTGGCTCCTCAGGAGCCCTCCCAGGAGCTCAGGGGAGAATCAGTCATGCGCGTTCATATAATTTGACAAGATCATTGCTCCAGAGAGGATGAGACCTGCTTTTGAAAGGAGAGAGGAGCCCCAGGCCCTAACAGTACCATTCACAATTATGACCACAAGCTCCCCATCTTATTAAGTAAGGACAGGGGTGCCAGGCTTCGAGAAAACACTGGACATTCCCCCCATCAACACACACACAAAAAAATGTGTCAGCTCAGCTGTTTTTAATAACGGTGGCTATTTGTAGCACAAAGGGGGCTCTTGGTTGTGCCAAAAAATGCTTCTATGTAGCGAGTGCCGTTGGTCTATTGGAGTGTGATTTACGTACTATGGAGACTATGGGGAATTTCCGATTGAATATCCAGCATCCCTATCAACCAAAAGCCACTGGCCACGGAGGAGGAGCAGATTTGGAAAGCAAACGCAGTACGAGGGATTTGACGTCCCAAGGTCTCTGTCTCCGTCCCAGCGTTTGCAGAGATCAAGTGAAGGGCAGTGTCACCGGCACTGAAACTTTTCAAAGGACCAAAACAATGACGTTCTGAGAATTCTTCAAGTTCAGGCTTTCTGGACTTCAAATGCAAAGATCAGTGTGAAAGGGCGTGACCTCTCTAGGTGTTCTTCTGAGACCTCGCCATTTTATGATCTCAGTGAATTTAGGAGTGAGGGGAACCCAAGGGTAAGGCCAGGTCTTTTTTATTTCCTGACAATATGAACACCCTGGTTGTAGAAGAGGATGGAGCTGGGAATTCCTAGGAGAGATCGGCGCTGAGCACAGGGTCTGTCCAGTGACGGGCTCACCCTGGAAGTCTGAGGTTCTGTCATTCATCAGATAACTTTTGGGGAACTTTGTATGTGCCATATGCTGTCCTAGGCACAGGGATACGGCTATGGATAAAACAGAAAGATGGCTTGCCATCAGAGAGAGGGGACCGATCACCAACCTCAGGAGGAAGTAAATGATTCTCTGGGTCAGAGGATGGGAAATGGAGAAAAGTAACTCAAAGGCAGGGGAGCAAATATGTGTGAGGATTAGGCCTGGGGTGCTCCAACGTTCAGCATTCAGCATTCAGGGGGAAACCCAAAGGAACCGTCAAAGCAGATTGGGACCGCGTGCAGTGGCTTATGCCTGAAATCCCAGCGGCTCAGGAGGCTGAGGCAGGAGGATCACGAGTCCAGCCTCAGCAACTTAGTGAGGCCCTAAGCAACTCAGGGAGACCCTGTCTCTAAATAAAATACCAAAAAAGACCTGGGGATGTGGCTCAGTGGTTAAGTGCCCCTGGGTTCAATCTCTAGTATGAAAAATTTTTTTTAAAAAGAGCAAACTGGCAGGACCAGCCAGAGGTATGGACAGGACTGCTTCCTTAATCCAGATGAGTCCAAAAAAGCATTCGTTGGACTTGCAACCAGGGGCTCTTGGGAGAGCTGGATAAGAGCTATGGTGTACAATGATGGGTCCTTGTTGGCATGGTCCCCAAGAAAGACGGGGGAGGTGGAATTGGGGCCAAGAAGGACAGAGAGAAGCAAAGAAAGAGGGCAGAAGCTGGTGGCCCTGATCCTGTTTTCGCCCTTGACCCTCCCTACAGCCGCTCAACCATCTTTGTGCGCCTCCACACCAACGGGAACCAGGAGCTCCAGTATCAGCCTGGGGACCACCTGGGCGTCTTCCCTGGCAACCACGAGGACCTCGTGAATGCCCTCATCGAGCGGCTGGAGGACGCACCCCCTGTCAACCAGATGGTGAAAGTGGAGCTGCTGGAAGAACGGAACACAGCTTTGGGTAATGCTCCCAGGGACCCTTCCCCTTCCTGGGGAAGATCCAGTGGGGGCAGGCAGGGGGGCACGAGGAGACACGTTGCCCTTCCCACTCACTGATCCAGGTGGGAGGGAGGGAGGGTCTGTTCCGCCTCCAGCTTCTGAGACAGACGCCCCCTTTCTCGTGGTTGCCCCACGTTGGCCTGGCTGTCAGAGCAGATGCCCGTGGCTCATCAGTGGGAGAAGGGGTTCCTCCAAAATAGCTGTAGTACCCTGAGTGAAGAACAGCTAACGTCTAAGTCAGACTCCTCTCGGGATCCAAAGGTCCTACAGGAGGCTTAATGGCCAGTCAGTACCATGGCATCCTTAGATCATGTTCCAACCTGTTGGGGGTTTTCCAAAGGCAGAGAGGGTCTCAGTGATTCATCTCAATAGCACAGGTGGGCTGAAGAGTCCCTGGAGGTAGAAGAATCATACCCCAGTATCCATGACCCATCTCCACCCATAGACACCCAGATCCATAGACACACTTGGATGCGCAAGTCCAGTATGTAAAGTGGAGTAGTTTTGGCGCATATCCTACATACCTCTTCCTGCGTACCTTAAATGCTCTCTAGATGGCTGGTGACATCTAATACAATGCAAATGCTCTGTGAATAGTTATTGTGCCATATGGTTTAGGGATGATGATAGGGGGGGAGGGTGGAGTCTGTCCACGTTCGGTACAGACAAAAAATTCCCAGCAAATATCTTCGATCCTCAGTAGAATCCACAGAATGCCGGGGCTGTGGATTTGGAGGGCTGACTGTGCAAGATGGTACTCAGAACAAGACCCTGACGCTTGTGAGACTCCCTGACTTCACCCTTAAGAGCCGCGTGGCCTGGGACAAATCTCTGAACCTCCCTTTGCTTCTACCTTTCTCAACGGGGGATAATGATAGCACTCACCTCGTGGGGTTGTTATGAGGGTTAAATGAATTAATAGCATAAAGGGCTGAGAACAGCGCTTGGCAGGTAGAAAGTGCTGGGTGCGTGTTAGTCATGCATGTCACCTCCGGGGGGTGAGAACTGACATCACAAGAGCACAGGTGCAGCCAGAATCAACGCCTATCTCAGGCTCCGCCTGTTTGATATTCTTCTCCTCTGCTCATGTTTATTTTTTAATTTTTGGCCTCGTTTGCCTCATTGCGCACGTGAGGCACCCAGACAGTCTCCCGGGCCTGTGGAGGTGTGCAAGGTGGAGAGCCCATAGGTTGCCCACCTCCTCTGCCCCAGCCGCAGGCCTGGTCCCCTGACGTGGACCCCAGCCCTCCCCGGCCTCCTCACCCCTTGTGCCTCCCCCAGGCATCATCAGCAACTGGAAGGACGAGTCCCGCCTCCCGCCCTGCACCATCTTCCAGGCCTTCAAATACTACCTGGACATCACCACGCCGCCTACGCCCCTGCAGCTGCAGCAGTTTGCCTCCCTGGCCACCAGCGAGAAAGAGAAACAGCGCCTGCTGGTCCTCAGCAAGGTGGGTCCCTGGGCTCCGCACACCTCTAGGGGGCCCTTTTCCCCTCCCAGTATTAGGGAACTCTAAAGCTGTTGTTCCAACCGTCTTCCAGCAGATGGCAGTCTTGAGCCATGGTTACCATTTTCTCATTTGCATATGGCCGCCATATTGGCTCATCTACTTTGGCTAGGCCTAACCCTCTCCCCTTGTCCTGAGGCCTGACAGAACAAGAGCAATCCCCTTGATGTTCAAAGTTCTCTGGCCACCGTGGAAATTGTGTGTCACCTTCTGCCAACTGCCTTTGTTATCTGGAGCTTCTGGGAGCACCATTTTAGCCCATGCTTGGAAGAAAAAGGAACAGAGGATCTCAGAGTGGCAGAGGAGCAGTAGGTAGAATGGCTAGACATAGAGGCCTCTGGTGACCAGGTTCATCACTCTTGCTTAGAAACACCGTGGACTCACCTACCCCGAGCCGTTGCACATCCTGCTCAGTAAGAATCCTGCCAAGGAGGACCACCCAGGCTCCTTGGGTTAGCGTTCTTCTGCTGTCTAGGAGACGGGTCCGAATGGCAGGCACAAGAAAAAGGCTAGTTAGCAAGTGCACATCATTCAGAAGAAGCAGATAAAGAGTTATAAGTGGCTACCTCTGGGGAGCTGGAAACGTACAGAAGCAGGGGAACAGGAGGCCATTATTTTTAATCAAAGCTTGGCAGACTTATTTAACTTTTTAGACTATGTCCATGTAAAACTTTTATTTAAATGTTGTAATTAATGAGGGGATATGAGAAGGGACCAGAGGCTGCGCCGCCTGCACAGGATTATTTAAAGTTAGGACTTAACGTACGTATAAGTCCATCTCTTCTGAATAGAACACCGCTCTCCAAGGGCTGGAAGCAGTCTGTAGAAGCCAGACGTGGCCCCAGAACTGGTGATGAATGTCATTTGCAGGTATATGTCCATCTGGGGCTCTTGGTCAGTTACACTTCAGCAGCTGGATGTCATCGAGGCTGTAGGCCGGACATGCACATTCCCAAGGATGCCATGCTCTGTTGATAAGGCAAAGAGGGTCTTCAGGAGTACGTTACACAAAGCCCTTGTAATTGACCTTACCCCTGGTCTCAGAAACTGAGTCTCTTATATCAACAATAAGGAACCATCCAGGGCCGTTATCTGGGATGTAGGAGCCCCAGGGTTCCTGTGTTCCCTGGGAACCACCGGGCTTTGCTGTCAATATGCCCCCACATGGTCCTCCACACCCCAGTCTGCTTTTCCTGGGCTGTCTGTCACCATCTTGAAATTGGCCATCTCTCCAAGGATGCATTTCCAGGCTCAGCAACCAAACAAATCTCGAGCCTGCCTTCTGCACCTGCTGCAACCAGCTGGGACTCAGTATGCCTCGGCTCTCCTCAGGGTCAGGAGCACAGAATCTCAGGCCAGGCTGCCCAGAGCAGGGATTGGCAGACTTTTTCCTGTAAAAGTCCAGGTAATCAGTATTGTAGGCTCATGGCCCATTGGGTCTTTGTGACAACTGTTCATTCTGCCATCATCATACAGCTGCGTAGATGATGTGACCGTGTTCTCATCCAACCACTCACAGACACTGGCGTGAATTTTATTGTACCATATTCTTATGCCATAAGGTATTGTTCTCCTTTTGATTTTTTTATTCCCCAACCATTTAAAAAAGTAAAAACAATTCTTTTTTTTTTTTTTTAATATTTATTTTTTAGCTTTAGGTGGACCCAATATCTTTGTTTTATTTTTATGTGGTGCTGAGGATTGAACCCAGTGCCTCACACATGCCAGGCGAGCGTGTTACTACCTGAGCCATATCCCCAGCCCCCCCCCCAAACAACAATTCTTATCTCACAGGGGGCAAGTCAGGATTGGCGCACAGGATGAGGTTTGCCACCCACCCCCGCCACTTAAGATTTAAATTCCAGCCATCATCGCTGAGTAGCCACAGGACCTCTGTCATGTTTAATGTCCTCATCTGTAAAATGGGGATGATTGAAATGCCTGCTATGGTCTGAAATTGTCCATCCCCCCCCCTAAAATCATGTGTCAAAATTCATATACCCAGGGTGATGGCATTAAGAAATGGGACCTCAGGGAAGTGACCGTGTCGAGAGGACTCTCCCCGGTGTATAGGATTAGTATCTTTATAAAAGAGCCCCGAGGGAGCTAGTTCTCCCCTCCTGCCACGTGAGGACACACAGCACGGGGCCATAGATAAAGAGCAGATTCCACCAGATACTGCTGGCCCCTTGACCTTGAACTTCCCAGCCTCCAGGACTGTGAGCACTGCATTTCTGTGGTCTGGATTCACCATCCTGAGGTATTTTGGTGCAGCAGCCCACAGGGACGAAGATGGTGTCTATTTGATAAGGTCCTCGGGCGGTCAGATCCTGGAGCGGCAGGATCCCTGTGCACGTGCTCCTCCTCCTTTATTTCCCTGGTCTCAACCTCTCTCGGCCCTCTCCTTGGCACAGGGCTTGCAGGAGTACGAGGAGTGGAAATGGGGCAAGAACCCCACCGTGGTGGAGGTGCTGGAGGAGTTCCCGTCCATCCAGATGCCGGCCACCCTGCTCCTCACCCAGCTGTCCCTGCTGCAGCCCCGCTACTATTCCATCAGCTCCTCCCCGGACATGTACCCCGACGAGGTGCACCTCACCGTGGCCATCGTCTCCTACCACACCCGAGGTGGGCAGGGGAGCTGGCAGAGCCCGCCCCCCCCCTCCTTCCCCCCCAAGACCTCCACAGGTGGTCTCTTCCTGAGCCACTAATCACAGGCCAACCCAAATCCCCGCAGGGCAATCAAACTGTCCCCAGCAGAGTTAGGACAGAGGCCAGACGGGCATGTGGGAGGCTGCATCTCCTGGCACCCCAAGACGGCAACGAGAACAGGCCACCCCACCATTCCCTGGGGGGGTCTCTGCTGTATCAGGTGCCCAGATGAGTCAGACGACCCCACCTCTGTTCCTATACTGTCCCTCCATGATCTGAAGATCTCTGTAACCCGGACCCCAGGGAGCCACCCAGACCACCCCGAGGGGGGTCCTTCCAGTGGATGGGAATGGAATGTGACTCACCCATACCCAGCAGAACCCGGGGCAGGCGTGCAGCTATGAGCTCACTTCGGCTCTACTGTCTCCTCTTCCCCTTTAGAGGAGGGGATCCCGAGTAGGAATTCCAAAGCAGAAATATGGGGTCAGCCTGTGAGCGTTCTGGCATTGGAGGGAGGAGAGGCCATGCTGCTGGGGGGCAGGGGGGTAGATGCACCAGAGCATCCTGCTTCCCCCGCTAGATGGAGAAGGACCAATTCACCATGGTGTGTGCTCCTCCTGGCTCAACCGGATACAGGCTGGCGAAGTGGTACCCTGTTTCGTGCGGGGGTAAGTAGCCAAGGACAAAAGAGGAACAGTCATCCCAAATCTGCATGTTGATATTACAAGTTGGAGTCAGGGGAGCAGCCTGAGGGCTGGGACGGACGGGATCAGCACCAGTTTCCCTCCCGCATCGCCCTAAGTTGTTTGGGTTACGAGATCTTGGGGCCGAGCAACACATCGAGCTAAGTGTGCCCTCTAAGCAAGGTCAAGTCAACGCTGTAGATATTTATCAAGTGTGCATTCTGCTCTGCATGCTGGGCAACCAGGCACAGACAGTCTCAGACGGGTGAAAAGTCTATCCAAATTCTTCTGGTCACCTTCAAACAGTTCCCAGTTTCTTAGAGATGGAGAAGACCCAGCCATCCCATCCATTAGGGCGTTTCCTCCCCAACTCAGTTTTAGAGCTTCGACCTGTGAGGCACAGCGGTTCATCCCTCAGCAACTTCTCTCCCTGAATGGTGGCCTCAGCCAACCCTTCTTCTCAGCTGTTGGGGGTGGGATGTTCCCACTTGGTCCACATACCATTTTCCAAACCCCCTGGAGCATCTCAAAAATAGAGTCCTGAGCCCCACTTTGCTGCATCCTCAGAAATCTTCAGGTTTAACATTTCCAGGTGGTTCTTTAAGCTCTGATGTCCAGGGATCTCTGATTTAAGATCTTGTGGGTGGATGTACCAGGGGTTCCCAGCCCAGTTCCCTGGTCCCAGGTGAAGAGCACTAAGTGGCTCTACGTGTCTGTGGGACACGGACGCCTGGTCTACCTCAGGCTCCGCTGTCCTGGACGGGATCTGACCTCAGCAGAGCTTCTGACTTTCTCTTCTTGTCCCAGTGCACCCAGCTTCCACCTGCCCCGAAACCCCCAGGTCCCCTGCATCCTGGTTGGCCCAGGAACTGGCATCGCCCCTTTCCGAAGCTTCTGGCAGCAACGGCAATTTGACATTCAACACAAAGGTGGGGTACAGCCCGGCAGCCACTTCCTTTCCACCCTGAGTCTCAGCAGCCCCAGGGAATGGCGGGCAGCTTCTCCGATGCCTGGATGCCTGGAAGGGGTGGGGGGGAAGGCAGCCAAACAAATCTCCCACCCGACATGGCCTCACGGCTTGAAATTCCATGCCCAGGGACAGCACTGTGATTATTTAAGGTACAGCCCCTCATAAAAATTCAAGCAGGGTCAGCCTGCGCCCTTATCAAATGGCTGTGTTGATGTGATTCTCCTGTGGACTGTTATTCAAGAGCAGACTCTGCTAGGTGAGAGCTGTAACAGTTCCATTTTTGGGAGAAGGAGACACCCCGCAAGCGTGGCCCTGATCAAACAAGGAGTCCTTGAGCACCTAATAAGTGCTCAACCTGAAGGAAGGTGTTGGGTGGGTAGCAACCAACAAAACAGAAAAGCAACTCAAAAATCAAGACCTGCCCAAGAAAACATTGTTCTGCAGAAAAGCTAACATTTATAAAGTATTCATTAAGTGTGCCCAGTTTTCATATTGCACACTTATTTCTCATGGTAATTCCATGATGTAGTTGTTGCTATTACGGCCGCCCCACCCTCCGCCCATTCCATGAGTTCTGAATCTACAGGTTCACCAACTACAGGTCTGAAATACCCAAAGAAACGTATTACATCTGAACTGAGCATGTGCAGACTGTTTTTCTAGTAATGATTCCGTGAAAGATACTGTAACCTCTATTTCCCTAACGTTTACACTGTTGCGGTAGCACAGGTCATCCAGAGGATCTGCAAAGTTTCTATGCAAATACTGCACCATTTATTTAAGGAAGTAGAGCATGCTCTCAGGTTTTGGGATCTGAACAAGGTCCTGGGGTCCTTCTCCTGTCAATACGGGGGGACCGCTGGTTTCATTGTGCACAGGGAAAAACTGAGGCTTAGAGGTGCAGTTGGTTGTGCTTTGTCACACAGAGCAGGGGTTTGGACCAGGTGTTGGAGCTCAAGTCTGGGCTCTTAGCGCTGCCTGATGGTAGAGGCTGCTAAGTCGTCTAGGAGCCAGGGAAGGGAGATCCGAACACACCTCACCGCCTGCCCTGTTGTCTGTGAGCTTCTGCCTGCTCAGCCACCCCCCCCCATCAGGTGTCAGAGCTGTCTGTGACATGAGATCTTCCCGGTCCCCAGGAATGAGTCCCTGCCCCATGGTCCTGGTCTTCGGGTGCCGGCAATCCAAGATAGACCACATCTACAGGGAGGAGACCCTACAGGCCAAGAACAAAGGGGTCTTCCGAGAGTTGTACACGGCCTACTCCCGGGAGCCAGACAAACCAAAGGTAAGCCCGGCCCCGCCCACTAACGCACTCCTACTCGAACATACCCTCGCAAGTCCTGTCTTAGAGACCCCCCCTTGCCCTGTCTGAATCCCCCGCTGTGGATTGGCTCCGCACTTGAGAAACCCGGGAGAGGGCATCTGTTTAAAATATTTAGCAGCCCATATTATAGCACTTTACAGACATGAAATGCTCAAAGCAGGAGATGCACAGACCAAAAGCAGATTTGAGAATGTGCAGGACCAGGAAAAAGGGGTCACAGGGAGCGGAGGGCCTGGTTTCCATTGGAGTGACAGAAAACTCTGCAACTGGATAGTGGCGATGGCCGCACGACACAGTGAATGTCATTTAATGCCACCGAATCACGCACTTGAGCATGGTAGATTGTATATTCTGTATATTTTACCACCATTTTTTAAAAGTTAATTTTAAATAAATAAACAAATAAACTATTTCAAAAGTATAAGTTAACCACCCGTCAGAGGTCGTAGTACCAATCGGAATGGACTGGCCCAGGCTTCTGCTGGGTCTTAGAGATGTCCCCAGGGGTCCCAGGGAAGGGGCTGGGGCCTCTGTGGCTGGCGGGCATGCAGAGCAGTTCCTGGGGAAGTCTGTCAATCTTAATGGCACCCGGGAGGTACCAACGGAATGTGAGTGTCACCTGGCGTGGAGTTTCCAGGACAAGTTAAAGACAAACTCGCGAAGGCCATGTGAGATGTCCCTGTGCCCCTCTCCCCACTCCCAGCCCACCTCTTAGTCCAGCCGTTCTGCTTTAGCCAGTTCTGCAGAGGTGCAGGCTGGCCGCCCCCATCTTGCCTCAGCCATGCCGTCTGTCCTGAGGATTCTCTGGCACCGCGACCTGGGGTACCTGCCGCACCGCGGTGGGTACAGATGTTAACACCTGTGTGTGAGCAGTGGCCACGGGGAGAGGAGCAGGTGGATAATGCCTCCCTTCCTGGGAATGACTCTGGGACTCTCCTCTGGCTCCCTGGAGGGTCCTCAGCAGACTTGAGCTCCGGTTGCCCAACGTGGGGAGTCGCTCCTTCACACCCCAGGGACCCCCTTTCCACCTTACCCATTTTGTTCTTCCCAGCTCCTGACCCCTTTCCCCTGGGAACACCCGCAAGCCCCTGAGCCACACCCTGCGCCTCCCAGAGCCCCACCCCTCCTCACAGACCCTCCCCTCCCTGCAGAAGTACGTGCAGGATGTCCTGCAAGATCAGCTGGCCGAGACTGTGTACCGAGCCCTGAAGGAGCAAGGGGGCCACATTTACGTGTGTGGAGATGTCACCATGGCTGCCGATGTCCTCAAAGCCGTCCAGCGCATCATGGCCCAGCAGGGGAAGCTCTCGGAGGAGGATGCCGGAGTATTCATCAGCAGGCTGAGGGTGAGTGAGTGACAGGCTGGCGTCTGGGTCCCTTGTCTCGCATCCTTCCTGTCTCTTCTTCCCCGCCCCACCTGTCGATAATTTGGGGAGCTGTAATGACATGTCACTTTTGCACTTATGATTGAGAATAGAGGTTATAAGGAGTCAGGGGAGGAATCCCAAATCCTGATTGAGAAAGGAGGTAGGATGGCTGGGCATGCAGGTGCATGTAGTCAATATGGTTGAGAACTGTCAAGTGTGGAAATAGCGAGTGGACCTCTAGTTAGTTATATAGAAATGAACTCAACCCAATTTTCTCTGCCCCCAGAACCAAGCTGCAAAACTGCCCTCTGCAGTTGTACAGGTAGAGCACTGAACAAAAACATCTGTCCAAGGGAGAGACAGAGGTCTGAAAGCCACCCCATGCTTAGCTCTCTAAACCATGCACCTTGGCATGGAGCTGCATCTACCCTGAAGGAAGGATCTTTTCCTGACACACCCAAAGGTTGGGCAAAGACTGGTGATGGCTCAATCAGCAAAGTCCTAACCATGTGACCAACCTCCCCAAATCCAACACAGTCCTAGACCCCTACAGATCTCTAGGTGTGATCCCTCCTTTCCCTTGCTTTCCTAAATGAGCAGTGATCGACATGTTTATGGGAGAAGCCCTTACTCTAAATCTGATGCTAAACCCCAGGGAGATTTTAAAAAAGAGTTTCTGATGGCGTGTGTCTGAGCAGAGCTGCGGAGCTGCCCTATCCCCGTCTCTCTGCCCTGATCCTCCCGGTCCCTGTCCTGGGTTCCCCAGGACTCCGTAGGATACAGTTGAAAACCCTTCCCAACTAAACACAGACCCGCTCTACAGGTGGGTCCAGGGAGACTGGACCAGCACAGGGGCCTGGCGGGCTGAACCGCCCCCAGCCGCTGCCCCTCCTCAGCATCCAGATGGTTTTGCCTCCCACCCCTGACTGCCCACCCTGCCAGAGGCACTCCCATGGCTTCCAAAATCCTTGCCTCCCAAGGGGTCCCCACTCTGGGCAGCTGTGGGGGTGTACCCTGGTGGCTTCCCAGCCACTTTTATTCCCCTCAACCCGCTGATCTCCCTGCCCTGGGACACTTCCCACGGACCCCTGCCTTGCCCAGGTCTGAATTTGCAGGAACAGGTTAGAGGGAGGAGAGGGGAGAACGGTGAGCTTCCCACTTGGCTTGGTCACTCTGGGTTCCACGTCTGCCCAGCCGTGTGGCCCCATTTCTGCATGGCAACACCAGAGTTCCACCGGACTAGAGTGGCCTCCTGCCCTCGAGGGTAGAGTCTCGCTGACACAGAGCCTTGGAGATCAGAGGTTCCCTGGGGACACGTGGCTCAGCCTGGTGTCTCTAGGAACCGTCTCCTTTGGGTACCTTCCACTCGGGGGTATCCGTCCTGTCTACACCTTTATCTGGCATCTGAGGGCCGTTCCCTGGCGGTTTCTGTCCCCTAGGATGACAACCGGTACCACGAGGATATCTTCGGAGTCACCCTGAGAACGTATGAAGTGACCAACCGCCTTAGATCTGAGTCCATTGCCTTCATTGAAGAGAGCAAAAAAGAGACAGATGAGTACGTCGGCCCCGCCCTGGAGGGGTAGGCAGACTTACCCACCATGGGGTCCCTGGGCCAGCAGCACACTGCCACCCTCTGGGGACCTGTTAGAAATGCAATTCCCGCGCTGCCCCAGACCTGCTCTATGTGCAGTTAGGGACCTGGGGCACCACCGCGGTCAGTCCAGGGAGGTCTGAAGACCCTGCTTAGCACGCGGCATCTGTCTGGGGTGCCCCCTACGGCTGTGGTGGTTCTCACTCTGCACCAGGTTGACGGTGGCTTTCTCCTCAGTGTAAATATCAACTGCTAGAATGTTGACAGTTTGACTCACCCCCTAGAAATGGCTGGAAACAGTGCCGTCTCAGCGTGTAACCTTACCTTAACTCCAGGACATAACAGCCTCGTGGCAATCTCTCTGCCCCATGCCCTCCCCATACCCTGGCCATGTGCCCTGACACAGGCAGGAATCCAGCCATCCCAGAGCACAAGGGCACACTCACACTCGGTTCTTACACTTAGCAATTTTACTGTTTGCTCTTCGAAGTGAGGCACCTGTCTCCAGACATACTTTGTGCCCACTCAGCTTACATGACCGCCTTTAAGATCATGCCCTCCTCACAGCTAGCTGGGTGCCGTGGCATAGCCTGTCATCCCAAGGGCTCAGGAGGCTGAGGCAGGAGGATCTCGAGTTCAAAGCCAGCCTCTGCCACTTAGCAAGGCACTCAGCAACTGAGACCCTGTCTCTAAATAAAAAATTTTAAAAAGGGCTGGGGATGTGGCTCCGTGGTCGAGTGCCCTGAGTTCAATCCCTGGTAAAAAAAAAAAAAAAATGTAAAGAAGACCAGGTTAAAAAAAAATCCCTCCGGGTTCCATCCCCAGTACCAAAATAAAATACATTAAAAGAAAAATTTATAAAATCGCTTAGTGGTAGAGCGCTTGCCTGGCATGTGTGAGGTCCTGGGTTCGACCCCCCCAGTACAGCAAAAAAATAAATAAATGAATGATTGTAAAAGATCACACCTTCCTTGATTGTCAGAAGCCCCTGGGTGGCCCTCCCCCAGCTCCTGTGACACTAATGCCCGCCCTCCTGTCCTCCCACAGGGTCTTCAGCTCCTAAGTGGATTCTCCAGCCTAGAGGGACAGCAGGCGGCCACCCCAAGTGCTGCACAGGGGCGGCTGCGGGCTTCCGACGGGCGCACACACGGCTGCACCTTTCCTCCAGGACCCCCGGGTCCCCGCTCTGCCTCGTCCTGTTGCTGTGTCCTGGTGTCCTCCTCTGGGTTCCTGCCCCCCCAGTGGCTTCCTCAGCCCCCCTGGGTCTGCTCCTTGAGTTTTCCTGCCGCGACGCGACGCCTTCGTACCCTGCGGTGGCTCTCCCGAAACCACGCCTCACTGCTGTCCTGCCGACGACGAGGGCAAATCGCGGGTGCATGAAACCACCGGATCGTGGCCACTGCTCCTCTCGGGTCTGTCTTCTGCTGTCCCCTGGAAAAGGCTGCAGGTTCTGGACAGAAGCCTTCTGAGCTGGTGCCTCTGGAATCCCCCCTCCTTTCTCACGATCCCTGTTTTGGTCGTGTGTGTGACGTGCGCGGGACGGGCCCGGGTCTCCGTCTGTCCTCTTGCCCGTGCAAGCCTGTCCATCTTAGACCTGCGTCCACTGCCTTCGTGAAAGACCCTTGGTGCCAAGAAACGTGCCCCTGGCCCACATTGAATCCTCGTGTGTCTGTAATTGAGGGTCTGCGCTGACGTCCCTTAAAACACTCTGAGGCTCCCCAAAGAAGGGTTAGGGAGTGAGGAGGGGGCTGTGGTGGTGGAGGGGACAATCTCCCCGTGAAATGGCGAGTCGTGGAATTGGATGCATCTGGATTCTGAGGCCAGTCGGCGGAGTCCTTACCATACCACCAATGGCTTGGGCAGGACCCCCCCCCCCGCCCAAGCCCACCTACCCCAGCCAGCATTGCCCCGGCCACGGTCATCGAGCCCTTCCCAGGGATCCCATCCGTGAGGCCCAGAGCCCTGCGGTCCACGGGAACCTGCTGGACATACCGTCTTCCCACTTGGCTAATACGGATGAGTCGCTTGTCCTAAGTTTCCCCGAATCAAATTGCTACCGACCTGAAAGGGACGAATGGGCTGAGCCTCACGTTTCAGAGCGTGGGCGTTCTGTCAAAGAAGAATACAGTGGTCATTATTTTCTTTTTCCTCCAAATGGGGCTTGCGGCTTTACCTTAGGATTAAAATACGTGGCGAGGTCAGTTAAAAGGGATCCGAGTGGACGGAGGCCCCCTGTGGATTTTTCTCTAGGAACCCTGAGGCTTTCTGCTTTCTAAAATTGGCCTCCGGATTATTGAACCTGCCGAAATAATTTTGGCAAATAAATAATACCTTCCACTCGGATCCAAAAAAATAAAAATAAAAAAACTGGGTAGCCAAGTCTCCGGCAGGGTTCAGGGCAGGAGGCCTGCAGAGTTTGCCCCCTCGGGGTGAATGCGGAGGAAGGTCCCTTCCACACTCAAGTGCTAAAATCAATGTCAGGCAGCATCCAAATCCCATGACCCCCCCCCCCACCCACCCTCCAGGGCCCAGCGGTGGGTCCATTCTAGCCTTCTGCCATGTTGGTTTTGTTTTGTCCCACAGAAGAACTCTGTCCCCTTGAGGTCCTATGCAGGACACTGCCTTCCTGATGCTCAGTGTAGAGAGCGGACCGAGAAAGTACCGTGGCCCCATGGGGAAGGGCTTCACAGGTGGGGTATCAAGACCCCAAGGGCTCCAACCCCGAGATCTTGAAAGGACAAGCCACAGCTCATCTTTGCCCACCCTCCCCAGCACTCCCGATGGGTGTCCCTGGCATCTGGAGTTTGTCCCAGTTCTAATCTCTCCTGCCTCCAGTTAATCCCAGGTTTTCCGGTTCAGGCTTCCACGGATGCAGAGACTCAGCCCCTGGTGTCCCGTAACAACCCTTTCCCACCTGGAGGGAAGCCAGCTCCAACTTCCTTCAGTCCTGCCAGCTTGATGCTGGGCTCCTAGTAGCTTTTCTCCCGGGCACTTTTTAAATGGTTTTTCCAACCCTTTGAACCCTTGGGGACACTTTCTAAGATGTCTCTAGTTCCCCAGGACAGAATGGTTAGGTCAACCTCCATCAAAGAGGAATAAATCACCACTTCCCTCTCCAAACCAAGTTTCCACTGCTGAATGAGGAGCACTTAGTATGTGCTGGGCACCTGCCGCCTGTACACCTCTCCCCTTCTAGAAGCCGGGGACAGATGGAAACATCTTTTCGTTTTGTCAGAGAGTCCAGAGAAATAATTATATAACCAGCATTCATCCTTCTGCCCAAGCAGGACCTCTTTTTTTTTTTAACCTCAGACACAAACAGCTTCATAACTCCCTGTTAGAAGACAGGAGACCAAGCTGATGTGTTTTTCTCCTGGGCGGAGATTTCCCACCCCAGAGAGCCCCACCCTACTGCTTAGCCAGAGAAGAGGCAGCCACCACTGTGGGTTGAGCTCTGATCCAGGGTGGGCGGATGCTGCCCCCTGCTGGCGGCATCTAGTTTGGTCCCCAGAACCAACTACAGGAGTAAGATACAGGTTAGCAATGGGTAAACCAAAGGGTTACCCAGGTAGCGGTCCCTTTATTTGCCGCTCCCTGCTAAACTGGTAGCTCTGACCATAACCCACCTCATAAAAGTGGGTTTGTCCAGGAAGCTCATGAGATAGTCCTGAAACAGGGACACAGGCACATCATACCATACTGTCCCCACTGTGACCACAGCTCCACACCTCGTGTGGGGAAGAACACCGTTAAGCCCACTGAGAGGAGAGAGGCCCTTCCTTGGTGTCCTGGATGTGTGACAGCCAGGCATTCTGTTTTGGTTTGGTTTGGTTTGGGTTTTTGGGGGGTTTTTTGTTATTTTTTAAGGGGAAACACTGAAGATCCACCAAAATGGAGTTTTAGAAGCAGAACTGGGTCCATGATGCCCCTTTTTAAGTAGTTGGCCATGGTGACTTGACCTTTCCATGTCTGTAGATCCTCCTGTCCAACAAGGGGATCCTGAGACGATGCCCAGTAACGGCATCTGGCCCAAACGCCCACGAATTTTGATTTCTCACTTATTGGTACCACGCCTGGCCTCCCCAGGGTGTGGAAGGTGTCTACAGAGACTAGCAAAGTGTGGCTGCTGCCCTGCAGAAGGCTAGAATCCGGTGGGCAGGGAGCTGCCCCCAGGATGGATGTGGGTGTCTGGGGCGTGGGGGGTGCGTAGGATTTCACCATGGACAATGGAAGACAAGAGTGGCCGCAGGGGAGGAGGAATCCAAGGCAGGCGTAGGCAGGGAGTGTGGGGTGCATCGGGGCTGGTTTGGAGGCAAAGCCAGGTAGAACTGCTGAGGGGGATCCCTGGGAATGTGGCCAGGACCAGACGGTGGGGCGAGGTGAGCGGTATAGCAGGGCTTAGACGGTGCCTAATAGGTGACAGGGAGGTCCTTACGAGTGTCTTTCCCAAAGGGAAATGAAGGTGATTGGAATTATGTTGCCAGAGAAGGTTCTGACCACAGGTTAGAGTGTGCATGGCTGAATTGCGGACGGACGGTTGCTGTCATCTAGGCGTGAGCCAGACAAGAGGCAGTAGTAATGATACACAGAGTCCAGGGGCTGAACCAGCAGGACCGGATGCCCTTTGGACAGTGAGGATTAAAAAAAAAATTGGAGCTGTGAAAAGGTCGGGCTCCCAGGGAAGGTGAGTCTGCAGCCTTGACCCGATGGCCAGCTCTCTGCAGGTCCAGAGTGAGCCCTTCCAAGGTCCAACGGGGTCCAGATGCCCACAAAGAAAACAGACTCTTAACTGGAGATGCTGGCCTAGGAACGGAGGCTCCTCCTGCCAATCGCTCTGAGCAGCCACCTGCTTTGGGCTTCCAAGGAGGTCAGGTTTTGCCCTAAGCCCACAACAAGGCAGTGCTGTTCTGACCCATATTGGGGGGGCAAATGGTTCCTGCCGGGGCGGGCAAGCTAGCTGCCTGCCCCACCCCCCCACACACACACACCCCCGCCCGCAGAGCAGCCGTGGGGCACAGTGGGCTCCGGGGTTGAGATTCAGTCCAGCCGTGGTTCCTGGAGTGGTTCCACCTCACTGCCCCTGGTGGGTCTCCAGCAAGAAGTCTTGCCCCCAAGCCTCTCGCCAAAACATCGAGCCGCCCAGGACGGCCGGCAGGGGTCTTCCCCACATCTCCAGCATCGAATGTCCCCCTGGGCTCCAAAATTCAAGGCCAGGAGGCGGGATGGGAGGTCTAGAGGGGCTGAGAGCTGGCCGCCTCCCAAGGACTCGACACCAACGGTCCCCGTGGTGTGGATCTGGGCTTTCAGGAGCTGACGCTGGCCTGGTCCCCTCTCCTCCTCTCACTGGTCCCTCTTCAGCCCACTCCCAGTCCCCACCTATGGACAGAGGACCCAAGCAGTCATCATATTCCCCCAGACCCTCTGCAACTCCAACATGAGGATCTGGTGGCCTTCAGTGTCGGTTCCCCGTTACAGGTTGAGCGTCCCGAATCTCCAATCCAGAATGCCCCCAAATCCAAAACTTTGGGCACCCACACCACAGTGCAAATGGAAAATTCAATTTATGCACAAAACTATTAAAAATATTGTATAAAGCCACCCTCAGGCCATGCATATGAGGCGTACATGAAATCTAAATGAGTTTCCTATTTACACTTGGTCCCACCCCCCAAGATATCTCATTATGTATATGCAAATATTTCCAATTTTTTTTTTTTTAATCCAGAATCCAAAACACCCCTGGTCCCAAGGACTTCGCCTAAGGGGCATTCAACCTGTAATACTGGCAAGGGAGTTGGTCCCAGTTTACATGCCTTAGCGTATTTATGAGTTCGTTTTGTCCCTTGAAATATCTAAATGGTTCTGGTCAAGCAGGCACATCTAATTCAGTGATGAGCATGGTGGCCTTGGCAGACAGGGGACAATGCCTTGGCATGCTGCTTCCTGAAGTCTTTTCAACTCCATACATGCAGTGCCCAGATTTGGCTTCGAACCTCCCAGAGACTCTAGTCCTGAGCCCCTCAACCTCAGCATTATTGGTGTTTGGGGCTTGGCCATTCTTTATCACC